CATTGAAGCCAGAAGGAGGGGAAGTAAGTTCTAACATTTTAGGGCAAAATGGAGCATATTGTTTATGAGGAAGTAGGTGCCGGGGTTGGAGAAATAGAACTTTCCAGTGAAATATAGTAAATTGGAGCATCTGTGCTAAACTGTTTCTAACCCTCTGTTCACCCCTTTTACCACTAGGTCACACACAGCCTTGTGAGTTTTACCATTTTCATAGATATTCTGTGCAGGGTACTGCTGCTGCTAAAGTCACTTGCACAGGTCCCGGGCTGCAGTGGCATGCACACCATGCAGTGTAGTACACCTACTTTGCTTTAGTAGTACAATGTGGTCATATGCTAAGCAGTGTGAGAATATGTTAGTATTAATACACATTTATGTATTAAACTGGGATATTTCTAATGTGATTATAACTAATATGCTGGTTATAGATATTGCATATTATAATAAATAGAAACTATAATATAAACATTCAACAGATATTATTGGGGTTCAGTTTACATATAGGTCAGAAATGAGCAAAACCCGACAGTACCTGTGTTCTAGACAGTGGGCCAGCAGTGTGAAGGCCTGTGGTGGGAGGGAGCATGTTGTGTTCATGGGGTTAATAGTGTGCCAGGTGGGAGGGGAAAGGTGGTCGGAGGCTAGACCAAGGAGGGTCTTGTGGGCTACATTAAAGCTGTCAGTCTTTAAGAGAAGAAGAGGATTTTAAACAGGAAATGGCATGATTAGTACCTTAAGAGAAGTCAATCTGGCTGCAGCAGGGGAGAGTGTGGAGGGGATGCAGCATGAATGTGGGTTACGAGGCTGCTGCAGTACTCTAGGCCAGTGATAATGGTGGCTTGGAGAGGGTAATGCCGTGGGGAATGGAGAAGTGGAAGGATTTGAAGTATTTTGGAGGTAAAATCAAGTTGATTCTGGTTTGGTGTTTCGAACTATTCTGAGGATTCTGCCTTTGGCAGTGTCATGGGTTATAGGCCCACTCCCTCACACAGGTCACTGAAATAAATCTGTAGGAAGTAGAACTTGACTTCACTCTTGGACATACTGAGTTGAAGTACCCCTGGATCCAAATTGGAACGTTATGGAGGCAGTGAGTTATGTGGGTCTGTGCTCAAAGGAGAGGCTGAGACAGAAGACAAATGTGTGGTGTAGTGAACCTAGATGGAGTTGGAGATGTGGGTGAAATTGCTTACAGAAGTGATTCTCAGCATTGACCGCACATTGGAATCACTTGAGTGTTGAAGAAGTAATCTGCTTCCCCCCACACTGTGATTTAATTAATTGGGCGTTGGGCTTTTAGAAGCCCCCCAGATAGTACTGATATGCAGCCAAGAATTGAGACCTGCTGGTCCAGAGAGCATAAGCTGAGATTGGGAAAGGGGCTAGGACTGAACTTTGAGGTACACAAGTAGTGGCCAGTTAGGGAAGGATAAACCTGCATAGGAGACTATTTCCTGCTGCTAGAGAGGTGGCAGGAAAACTGTCAGTGTGGTTTCATGGAGGTAACTGACCAGCAGTGCCTCTTGCTGAGAAGCCAAATGGAATTTGGATTTAGCAATGTGGACATGGTTTGGTTACTGGAGGGATAGGTGTTAGTGAAAAGTGTGGAACAGAAGCTGGTTTAGAGCAGGTTGAAAAATGAGGGAGGAAATGGAGACCGCATAGGCGGCTGTTAAAGGTATTTGGGAGGAGGCAGTAAGGAGCAGAAAAGGGATGCCATTGTATTAGGATGTTTTTGTTACAAATAACAGAAAACTGATTCAATGGGTTTAAATGATGAAGAAAACTTAACCTTATTCAAGAGTTCCAGAAGAAAGTGGTTCTGCAGCATCATCAAAGACCTGGGCTTTTTCCAGCCCACTGAGTGACTTGGACCTCCAGCTGCCAACTGAGGATGTCAGGGTGCTACTGTAACTCAGACATCAAACTGGATAGCACAGTCCAGCAGAAGGATGACTTTGTTGTAATCTTAAAAAAAGAAAACCTACTGAAAAGTGTACAGTTTATAAGTGTGTAGGTTGAATTTCAGAAACCGAACAACCGTAATCAGCACCCAGATCACAAACTCAGTATCCCAGAAATCCCCTTGTTCCTCCTCACTACCCACCTCCCCCAGGACAACTGCTATTCTGACTTCTAAAACCATTGGTTATTTTTGCCTGTTTTTGTGCAATGTAAACAATCATATAGTATGTATATAGTATGTGCTCTTTTGTGTTCGGCTTTCAACATCGCTTTTGAGATCCATATTGTTGCATGTGAAGTTGTAAAGTGTTCACCTATTGCATGAATATACCACATTTTATCCATTCTATTGTTGATGGGCATTTGGGTAGTTTCTAGTATTTGGCTTCTATAGTGTGTCATTGTGAACATATGTACTCATTTCTGTTGAGTGTATAATCAGGATCAGGGTATGCTTATATTCAGCTTTAGTGCATAATTTCCAGTGTGGTTGTATGATTTTACATTCCTACCAGCAGCATATGAGAGTTTCAGTTCCACGTCTTCACTGACACTATTTTGTGTCATTTCATTTGGTGGGTGTGTAATTATGTAGTGTTGTGTTTTAATTTGCATTTCCTTAAGTTGATTAATGATATTTAAGTTGAATATCTTTTCATATGCTTATTGACTATTTGGATTTTCTCTTGTGAAGTGCCTGTTTGAGTTTTGAGTTGAATGTATTTAGTAGCGTTTGGTTTTTTTAAATTTTGAATATGCGTCATTGTCAAATACATGAATTACAAATATCTTCTCACTCTGGCTTGCCTTTCTACTCTTGATATTTTCTTTTCACAAACTGAAGTTAATAATTTTAATATAGTACAGTTTGCCAGTTGTTTCCTTTATGGTAAGCGTTTTTGTGTTTTGTTTCTAGTCTTTGCCAGCTCAGATGTCACCAAAATGTATGTTTCTTCTAAAATCTTGACTGTTTAACTTTGGTATTTAGATCTGTAGTTCATCTGCGGGTGGTGCCTGTATTTAGTGTGAGGTGGGGTTCAAGATTCATATGGGTGTCCAGTTGACACAGCACCATTTCTTAGAGTACATTTTCTCCGTGCACTGTGGTGTTACCTTTGTCATATAGATCAGGTGACTATAGGTAAGGATCTGTTTCTGATTTCTATATCCTGTTCTGTTGGTCAGCTCATCTATCTTTAGATAGCTTTTTCTTTTTAAAAATATAAGTTACCTAGTTTTGTTCATGTAATCTCTTTTTGAGTGATGAGTCAGTCCCCTCAGGTCTCATTTGCCAGCACTGGGTCACATAACTACCCCTAAGCCAGTCAGTGGAAAGGAGAGCGGCTGCTGCCATGATTGGCTTAAACTGATTAAGATTTATCTCTCAGTCTTGTAACAGTGAGGTAGACCCTCACAACAAAGGTCTAGTAATCAGGTGGAGGAGGATAGCTGTTGGGTAGGCTACCAACAGTTTTTTCTTAAGGTTTAAGACATATATTTTTTTATTTGTTTTTTAAAGATGAGAGAGTTCTGAGCATATTAAACATTGATGGGAGGTTGTACATTAAGTACAATATGAATGTACCTAATGCCACTGAACTGTACATTTGAAATGGTTCAAATGGTGAATTGTATGTTACGTAAATTCACCATAATATGGAATGGATTTTTGAGAGGGAATAGTTAATATATGGGTGGGAGAAGAGATCATTGAAACTGTGAGGATGAGGAATTACATAGCCCAGGTGGAGAAATTGGCCAGGTCAAGAGGAGGAATATCTCCATTGCACCAGTAAAGGAGAAGAGGTAGGGCTAGGTATGGGCTTGTCTGTTTGGTCGCAGGAAATTGAGAGTTCGCTTTGACGTCTCCAGCTTGCTCTTTGAACAAGGAGCAGAGATCATCCACTAAGAGAGAAGGGAGTTTGAAGTTTGAGAACAGGACACAAGATCTGAAGTGATCGTTTTACAGAGCTGGAGAATGATTTGATCTAGAACGATGGCCTAACAATGTTGAAGGCCCCTTTGGGTTTTAATCATGAATAATAGTGCTAACTGTGTACTCTGGTGTGTAATTTCCTCCAGCAATACTTGATTCCCTAGATACAGGTGTGGAGAAAGCCGAAAGTAGGTTTGATTTAGAGTTGGGGTTTTGCCATAGAGCCAGATGTAAACACAGGTACAAAGGAGTATAAAGAAGTAGGAAGCATGTGAATATGAAATGATGGATCTGACTCTCAAGCTAGCTAAGGAAGTAAAAAACCAAACTGGGTAAGTCATTGAGTTGGGAACCCTGAGGAGATAGTAGGAATAGTTGAACAAGATGGAAGGAACCAGGTTATAGGGGAGAGTGGGATGCCTGAATTAGTGATTTTTGAAGTTTGAACAGTTTTGAGTGGTGATAAGTTTTGGGGGAGGGTAGCAGTGGTGGGTGTCTGAGCTGGGGTAGAGGAGGAGGTGATAGAAGATAAGCCAGGAAACTGTTAGTACTTAACAGTTTACAAAGTACTAAACAGGAAGAACAGAATTATCCCGTTTTCGATGAGAAAGCAGGCCCTGAGAGGTTAATAACTTTCTAACAGCCCCAAGGAGAATTAGCATTTGACTGGACTTCACTGTTTCATGTCCCAACTTTCACGCTCTGTCCACTATAACCTAGTGGAGGTCTGTGAAAGATCTGGGAGTTATATTTCTGGAGCTCAGGAGTCTTGCTGACATGCAAAAAATAGTGCAAAAAAAAATACAACTAATAAGTTGGGAATAGATTAAGATGTAAGTAAGATGTGTAGGAATTACTCCAGAAATACGAGAAGTAGTTATTCCTGGGTAGTTGTGATCATGACTCTGGATGACTTTTTTCCTTTGTTTTACTTTTCTGTATTTTCCAAATTTCCTATAATGGACATATATGAATTCTTAAAAACCAAAGCATAATTTTTTCACTAGGTTATACATGGAAAATTCAAAAATTACAAATAGAAATGCAATATGGCACAATACCTTTACTAAAATAAAAATATGAATATTTCTTTTTTTAGAAATGCACTTGGTGATGGAAAGAGAGCCATTATTCTGAAGAACAATTGGACAAAGGTAGGTTTCTTTTATATTTTACCTTGGGCAAATAATGCCATACAACTTGGTGAAAAATCTTTTTATAGGCTGTACATTTGTATGTAAAAGCACTGGGTAAAATAGGCAGAGCTCAAGAATATGACGAAATCTTCAGTCCCATAGTCAGAAAGGAGGTGGAGCACAGCAGTAAGGCTGTGTGTGTCTGAGGGGAACAGGTCACCTGTGGGATTCTTGAGGACCTCAAGGGAGCCTTAGCCATTGAGATAACATCTGCACATTCCAGATAGGTTAAAGACCTACAGAAAAATGAAATTTGAAGCTTAGAGCTTTGAACATATGTACAATTCAGTGAGAAAACATAAATTTGACTATATCAAACTTAAAAACTTCTATGTCAAAACACATCATGAATGAAATCGTCTGAGAGGAGATAATTTGTTATATACATATATATAACTGATAGGATTTATATTCAGAATATGCAAAGAACTAAAATTAAAAAACCAGTACAAATGGGCTAATAAACAAGCATTTCACAGAAGAGGAATTCTGAATGGGCAATAGAAATAAACAGCTCTGTTTCCCAGTAATTAAAATTGTACAGAGACAGCAAAATGAAACCAAGAGAGCAGAATAGAGAGCCTCAAACAGACCCACCTGTACATGACTAAATAAAACAATGTGATACTGTTTGGGTCCTTCACGTCGGCAAAAATTAACAAGACCAATAGCCCTGAGTATTGGTGAGTGTGTGTACCAACAGAAACCCTCGATAAACCAGTGTAGTTGAATTGGTTACAGCCACCTTGGAGAACACTCTGATGTGCATACACAATAATTGTTTCTAAGCGTGTATATTGCACGTTAGTGCACATATGTACATGGTGAGAAGTACAGAGTTGGTCCTTGCAGCATTGTGTTAATGGCACAGAGCTGCAAATACCTAAATATCCCTTAATAAAGCAGTGGATATATGTGTTTTTTTCACTTGATTAAAGTCGTTACTATGGTCTATCTGATCTGTCCCTTGTCCCGTTATTTCTCGGACCTCACACCTTCTGCTCTCCCCTTTTTTCATTCCCTTGTTCACTCTGTGTTGCCCCATTGGCCTCCTCAGGGTTTCCTAAACATGCCAGGCCCACTCCCAGCTTGTACTCGCATTGGCCTCATCAGGGTTTCCTAAACATGCCAGGCCCACTCCCAGCTTGTACTCGCTCTTCCCTGTGCCTGGAATGAGAGTGCCTTTCCCCAGAGCATGAGCTAGCTCCCTTTATTTCCTTTCGTTGTTCACTGAAAGCCCTCTTCTCAGTGAAATCCCTGGCCACAGTACTACAGTGCCAAACCTGCTCTTTCCTAGACATTGGCTATCCTCCTTCCCTTCTTATTTTGTTTCCTCTTGGCATTTATCATTATTAAATATACTATGTATACTATTTATGGTATGTTTATGGTGTGTCTCCAGAACAATGTGAGCTCCAAGAGGACAGTTTTTTTTCGTTTGGTTCATTTAAAAAAAAAAAAATGTTTTGATTGATTTCAGAGAGAGGAAGGGAGAGGGGGAGAGATAGAAACATCAGTGATGAAAGTAACATCAATGATGATCAGCTGCCTCCTGTACACCCCCTACTGGGGATTGAGCCCACAACCCAGGCATGTGCCAGACCTGGAATCGAACTGACCTCCTGGTTCATGGGTTGATGTTCAACCACCGAGCCATCCATTGAGCCACGCCAGCCAGGCTGTTTGGTTCATTCTTTTTTTTTTTTTTAAATATATCTTTATTGATTTCAGAGAGAGGAAGGAAGAGGGAGAGACAGAGATAAAAACATCAATGATGAGAGAGTCATTGATTGAGGCCGCAACCCGGGCATGTGCCCTTACAGGAAATCCAACCCCGATCAACTGGATCCTAGCTCGACACTCAACCGCTGAGCCATGCCCGGCCGGGTTGTTTGGTTCATTCTTGAATCCGGACTGCCTGACAAGTTGCCTGGCACATAGTAGGCATTCATTAATAAATATTGTTGACATAGTTAATGAACGAATTGTATACTGGATTGCAGTTGAAATGAGTTAACTGGCTTATCAACACTTATAGATTTAAAAAACAGTCTTGAATAAACAAAGCAGTAAAAGCATAATATAGGCTAGAAAAATACTTATCAAATTCATCATAGAGTTTGCTTCTGGTGAGAGGCAGAAAGATTAGAGAGGTTACAAAGGAGAGTTCAGCCATATTTGTATAGTTTTATTTCTTTAATTAAAAAATCTGAAGCAAATATAACAAAATGTTAACAGTTAATTCTGGATGTGTGTTACAGTAATCTCTTTATTTTCCTAAATACAAAAATACCTGAATTTTTCTTTTTTAAGTAGAGCTTCATTAAGACACAGACATGTTTCAGACCTTATTCCTGGCTTTTCATAATTTGTTTTTAGACCAGAGTGAGTAGAACCATAGAATATTAGAGCTCCCAAATTGTGATTCAGGTGGTATTGAAGTATAAAATCTGGGATTGTAAAATTCCCCAGGTGGACTTCTGCATCCAAATTTTAGGGTCACTTTTTAAATACCTTATTTTGCAGAGGAAGAAGTGAAGTTTCAGAGAGGTAAAGTGTCTTTTACAAGGTGTCATTACATGTATACTTTGAGGACTTTTATTTAGAATGTTTATTTCTGGATTAATTTATCAAAGAAAATATTTACTCTTCTTTTTAAGACTTTGTTTTTTAGAGCAGTTTTAGGTTCACAGCAACATTAAGAAGAAGGAAGGTACAGATATTTCCCATAATCCTGCTACCCCCACATGTATACCCCCCATTATCAGCATCCACTAACAGAGTGGTACGTTTGTGAAAATTGATGAACCTCCATGGACATATCATAATCTCCCAAAGTCCACAGTTTACCTTAGGGTTCACTGCCTAGGTGTTGTACATTCTGTGAGTTCGGACAAATTTATAATGATATGTATCCACCATTATGGTTCATACAGATTCTTTTTGTTGCCCTAAAAATCCTCTGCTCTGCCTATCCATCCTTCCCCCCAAAATCTTGGCAACTGTTGATCCTTTTACTCTCTCCATAGTTTGGCTTTTTACAGAATATCATAGTTGGAATCAGCATGTAACCTTTTCAGATTGGCTTCTTTCAGTTAGTAATATGCGTTTGTTTCCTCAGCAGTTTTTTCATGGCTTGGTAACTGTTTCTTTTTAGTGCTGAATAATATTCCATTGTCTGTATCTACTATAATTTATATATCCATTCACCTGCTGAAGGACATCTTGGTTGCTTCCAAGTTTTGGCAGTTATGAATAAAGCAGCTAGAAACACCCCTGTGCAGGTTTTGCACGGATATAAGTTTGCAACTCCTTTGGGTAAATACCAAGGAGTGTGATTGCTGGATCATGTGATAAGAATATGTTTTGTTTTGTTTTTAAGAAACTGCCAAAATATCTTCCAGAGTGGCTGTACCATTTTGCATTCCTACCAACGACTGAGAGTTGTTGCTCCACATCTTCCTCAGATGGTTGGTGTTGTAAGTGTCTTAGTTTTGGTTATTCTGCTGGTGCGCAGTGGTACCTCCTTGTTATAATTTGCATTTCCCTGGAGACAGATGATGTGGAGCATCTTTTCATATGCTTACTTGCTACTGTGTATCTTCTTTGATGAGGTGCCTTTTGAAGTCTTTGACCCATTTTTTAATCAGTTGTTTTTCTTATTGTTGAATTTTAAGAGTTCTTTGTAGATTTTCAGTAACAGTTCTTTATCAGATGTGCCTTCTGCAAATATTTTCTTCTGGACTGTGGCTTGTCTTCTCATTTTCTTAACATTATCTTTCACAGAGCAGTTTTTTATTTTAATCAAGTCCACCTTATCATTTCTTTCTTTCATGGATCATGCCTTTGGTGTTGCATCTGAAAAGTCATCACCATACCCAAGGTCATCTAGGTTTTCCCCCATAGTATCATCTAGGAGTTTTAGAGTTTCGCATTTTACATTTGGGTCTGTGATCCATTTTGAGTTCATTTTTGTGGAGGATGTACAGTCTGGATTTATTTTTTGAATGTAGATGTCCATTTGTTCCAGCACCATTTGTTGAAAAGACTACCTTTGCTCCATAGTATTGCCTTTGCTCCATTGTCAAAGATAAGTGGACTGTATTTATGTGGTTCACTCTTTTTTTAAATTAGGATGTTTTGTGCTGATTGCAAAAATATCTGTGTAGCTGAAAAACACAACTCCTAGTAAGTATTCAAAAATTTTGGTACTATATATATCTAGGTCATTTTTCATTTTATTTCACCAGAAAGGAATGCTCCTTGAAGGATGGTTTAAATTTCAAAAGCAAAGGTGACCCTGCATTTACTGAGTCATGTCTCTAGGATATAAGCCTGTATAGGAAGGTGCTCTGTAGATTTCTGTGTGAGGGTGGGCCACTTTTTCTTCTTTTCTAGATAGAGAAGACTGGTACAGTGTCAGCTGTCCTAAACGTGATTTCAGGCTTTAGAGAGGGTGACTCATTGTATTGTAAAGAATGAGAATTTTTATGATAGACTTGACAGATACCTATGTTTGCATTAATTTGTAGGGATGTATTTGGACTCTCTTGTTTGTGAGTGACAAAACCTAACTCAGATTTGGCTTTAGCAGAAGGGGGAATTTATTGGCTTGTGTAATTGAAAATTCTAGGGATTAGCTGCAGGCATGGTTGGACCCAGATTTGCACACACTTTTCTTTGTGTTTCTTAGCTGTGCTTCCCTGTTTATTAGCTTTATTTTCAGTCTTTTCTCTGTTTCAGTTTTCCTAGGTTCTATTGCTTTGTCCTCAAGTTCACTGATCTTTTCTTCTGCAGTATCTAATCTACTTTTATTTCCGTTAATGTATTTTTATCTTATATAGCTTTCACCTCTAGAATTTCAATTTGAGTATTTTTTATGTATTGCATGTCTTTATTTTATATGTAAAATCTTTCTTTTAGCTTCCTGAATGTATGGAATATATTTATAATAACTTTTTATGTTCTTATCTACTAATTCTATCACCGGTGTCATTTCTGGGTTGTTTTTGATTGACTGATTTTTCTCTTCATTATAGATCACATTTTCCGTTTTTGCATACTTAGTAGTTTTTTAAAAAATTCTCACCTGAGGATAATTTTTCCATTGCTTTTTAGAGAGTGGAAAGGGGGGGAAGAGAGAGAGGAAGGGTATCAGTGTGAGAGACACATAGATTGGTTGCCTCCCACACACACCTTGGCTGGGACCAGGGATCAAGCCTGCAACTGAGGTACATGCCCTTGACTGGAATTGAACCCAAGACCCTTCAGTCTGTGGTCTGACTGCCTAACCACAGAGGAAAACCCACTAGGGCATATCTAGTAATTTTTAATTGGATGCCAGGCATTGTGATTTTACCTGATATTTTTGTATTTCTGTAAATGTTTTTTAGCTTTGTTTTTGGATGCCATAGTTAATTGGAAACAGTTTAATTATTCGGAGTCTTGTTTTAAGCTTTGTTAGATGGGAGCATAGTGGCATTTGGTCTAGGGCTAATTTTTTCTCCATAACTGAAGCAAAACTTCTGAGTATTCTACTTGATACTCCATGAATTATAATGTTTTCCACTCTGGTTGGTGGGAAGAGCAAGTATTCCTAGCCATGTGTGAGTGCTGACTGTTACTCCCTTTTAGCTTTTCAGGTGGTCTTTCGCTGGCTTGGGTAGTTGCCCCACATGCAAGTACTGATTTAGTATGCAGCCACACTCAAGGGGGTCCTCTGAAGATCTCTGGAGTTCTCTGTGCAGCCCTTTCCTCCCTGGTCCTCTGTCCTGTGAACTTAAGCTGCCTTGTTTTTCCTGGACTCCTGGGCTCTGTCATCTTAACAGACTTCCATCTCTGCCTGGGTTTTTCTCTCTCTGCTGTGGCTTATAGACTCCACTCAGCAAGCTGGGGCAAGCACAGGGCTTACTTTGTGTGTTTCTCATCCATCTGGGTCACTCTCTGTTGTTGCCTGATGTCCAGTGTCTTGCAACCTTTCGTTTCATATATGTTGTTCCTGTATGTTCATTTTAGGCAAGAGGGTAAGTCCAATCCCTACTACTCCATCTTGATCAGAAGTGGTAGAGTGTGGGCTCTCTCTGCTTCATTTTGAAAAAGAACCAAACTGATGTCCTCAATAGCTGTTAATTCTGGTGGAAAAAGAACATCTTTAGTATCTATATAGTATACCCGAGGGATGCCTCACACTTATCCTCACTGAGCCATGTGCCCACCTGTGGACCCATCACTGTTACCAGGGAAATGGTGCATTTCAATGGGGCTGTTTTCTGGGTCATAGCTACGCTTCTACCCTACCATCATTGTTGAGATGGGGCACTAAAGTTGATAGTCCTGCCATTACTCTCTGGAGAAGGGACATGGTGGAACTCAGAAGGAGGGGATGCTGGGCAGATGAACAGTAGGGAATTTCTCATGTATGTGATAGAGAATCAGATAGTGTCAAATAAGAGCAAGACTTTCTGTTGTAATTGGGTTCAAGAAACTCTGAAATACCTTTAAGTTTCATTCAAACTACTTCAGCAAAGAGATCTGAATAAACTCCTTTCTAGCTGGTAGAAATTACACTTCAAATGGAGTGAAGAGAGAGTAGAGTGTCTTTTACAAATTTAAGCAGGTATGGTTTATGAGCTATCATAATTTTCTGTGCTGTGATGTTTTTTAAATGCAGTTATGTAAGCTTTAAAGTTGACATATACCTGGGGGGTAGGATTTTGGTCTTGTAGCAAACCTGAGAGATCTCTTTTATCTTCTTATGCCTTTTAAGGTAAAGCAGAGTTTAACCAAATGCAATCTGAGTTGAATCTCTGATCTGAGCCTAAATAGTTTGGCTAAAAAAGTTCTCCAGAACTCACAGGTTGGGTTGGAGCACGAGAGCAGAATTATACATGCACGGGAAGGTGGAAACAGAGGTCCTCACAGTTGTTTCTGGCTTGTCTTAATGAAAAGCCCATCTTTCTTAAAAAGTTCACTTATTCCTGATTTTTTAAAAAATGAAACGACAGTTTTCTTTTATTCCATTAGTATTTTTTATATTCTTTTTTACTGAATTTATTGGGATGACGGTTCATAAAATTATGTAGGTTTTAGGTGTACAGTTCTATAATACATCAACTATAATGTGTTCACTACTGCAAGTCAAGTACGTCGTCTTCTGTCACCATTTATCCCCCCTTTGCCCTCTTTTGCCTCCCCCCACCTTCGCCTCTGGTAATCACCATACTGTTGCATGTGTCTATGAGGTTTTGTTTGTTTTTATCTCATAGAACCAGAATGTTCTTTGTAAAATGTTTAGTAAAGAGGAAAGAGTTCTGGACCCAGAGTCATAAGACCAGGGTTCTTTGGTTTGTCTCTAAGTAAGTGGCATTAGGCAAGTTCCTAGCCCCTTTCACTTGGAAATCGCTTCTCAAGTTGGAAATACTGTACCTAAAATGGGAGTTTGGTTTTGTGAGTAGCTGAGAGTGGTTGAGTTAGCCTGGGTTTGGTAATGTTAGCATTCTGGATTAAAATGCTCATGCTTGATATAGAAGATTTCCCAAAGTGTGAAAATGGGGCCAGCCAGGACTGTGGTTCTGTGGCAGAAACAAAAACAGAACAAAAAACCTGATGATTGGAATAAAGAGTAAAGCAATGATTTTTGGACATTTTCTTTCTTAAAGCCAAGAATTACACTTAGAGATAAAAGAATTAAAAGCTGATTAAGAGAGAGATGGATGGAAGATCTAGCTTAGGTTTACCCCTTATCTGTACCCATGCTCCTCTTTAGAGAGGTTGGAAAATTGCTATGCAAGCTGACTGTCCTCCTAGCTCTAAAACTCTGTTGATTTCCAAAGTGTAGGGAATGTAATGACTTGGGGACTATTACTGCCTTGAAGTATTGTGTAAAAAGTTTAAGTTATTTATATGAATGATTTTTATACTTTATTTGGCATAAAAATTATTTCACTCTTTAGTAAAGTATAATTAAGGTTGAATTTTTTCTTTGGGGGTACAAAATCTCTTAAGCAAAAATATTGATCTCTGGTCAGTTGTTAAAAATTATTACGAATATTGTTCATAGTTTTTCACTTAGCTCATTTTAGGTAATTTTATATCCTGAGAGTTATTAACATTTTTTAAAAATTTTTCATTGGGTTCTAATCTAACATTTTAAGTAACTAATCAGATTTCAAGCAAAATATTTTTCCTTCTCTATTTCCTTTAACTTAAGCATATTTTTGAGAAAAATTAAATTTATCTTTTTGGAACAGGGTCATTATCGTTATTGTGCTGCTCTTTCTATGCTGGGGGAATATGACTGGGCCCTGCAAGCAAACAGTAAAGCTCAAAAACTCTGTAAAAATGACCCTGAGGGAATCAAGGATCTAATTCAGCAGCATATAAAGTTACAAAATCAAATAGAAGACCTGCAAGGTATTTCACCTAAGATTCTTTCGGTTTCAGTCGAATTCCCTTTAAAACTTTCGAAGGTGGGTTTCTTAGATTAATGGAGGACCGTAAATCAGTTCTCACATGATTTGTACTTACTTTGTTATCTTGGTCGAGTCACTTAAGTTTTCTATTTCTATCTGTATAGAATTATTAGTTATATTCCATTAGGTAATTATAAATTATTTGTATTTTATTTGAAATATTTAGCAATGAATTATTATATACCCTTGCATAGAAAATATGCCTTCTTGAAATTTTGAAATTAAGTAAATCCTTTTGAAACAGAATTGTTTTAAGATTATCTCCTTTACTATTGTAGTTATTTCCTGAAGAGGGGTCCCTTTAATAGCATTGTTTGTTGTTTGTGGTTGGTGTTATACATATATCAGAAATTTGCTGTGCAGGCTAGGAATTCTACAATTCCTTACTCTACACTTTCTGTATAGGTCTTTCCTGTATTTCCTTCCGTGGGTATTTAGTGTCTTACAAAGCTGAGCTGAGTGATTCTATTTCACTAGCAGAAGTTATCCAACATAACATGATTATAAGATTGTGAGCTCTTTGAAGACAGGTACCATCGACAGGTACCATCTCCAAGTCACATTTCTATCTTGCTGCACCTAGGCAATGATCACATCGAATGGGATGTCAAATAAGGTCTGTGTAACATTTTGTTGACACAATCATCAAACTGAAACCACCTTGAAATATAAAATTGCTTAGGCTTACTTTCCAGTTCTCTGAATTTGAAAATCTTTTAAAGTTGTGTTGCCAATGCAGTGATTACTAAGTGTGTGTGTGATTGATTTTTATAGGTGGAACATCAGCTAGGAATCCAATTAAAGCCTTTTATGAAAGCAGGTAAGTTAATATTGATCTGATCAGTAGGTGTTACCTGGAATGGTGTTGCCCTATGAGTTGAAGAGTCACTGCGTTTGATGCTTTAGTAGCTTATAGCAACCACAGTAAAGTTGGGGGAGGAGAGGTGATAGGTGGTTTTTATTGTTTTTCCCCTTTGAAATATTCTTACATCTTACTCCTTTTTTAAAAAAATTATCTTTATTGTTGAAAGTATTACAGGTGTCCCATTTTTTTCCCCCATCGACCCCTCTACTTCACTCCCACCCTCTCCCCAGGCCTTCACTCTATTATTGTCTGTGTCCATGGGTGATGCATGTATAAACAGAACTTCTTTGGTTAATCTCTTCACACCCCCAAACCCCTTTACTCTTCCATTTGAGATATGACCCTCTGTTGCATGCTTCATTGTCTCTGGGTCTATTTTGTTTGTCAGATTCTTTTGTTCATTAGCTTCTTCTTAAAAAAGACCCTTCAACATTCCATGTAATATGGGTTTGGTGGTGATGAACTCCTTTAGCTTTTTCTTATTTATGAAGTTCTTTATCTGACCTTCAGTTTTAAATGGTAGCTTTGCTGGGTAGAATAATCTTAGTGGTAGGTTCTTGCTTTTCATCACTTTGAATATTTCTTGCCACTCCCTCTGGCCTGCAAAGTTTCTGTTGAGAAATCAGCTGACAGTCTTATGCGTGCTCCCTTGTAGGTAACTAACTGCTTTTCTCTTGCTGCTTTTAAGATTCTCTCTTTGCCTTAACTTTTGGCATTTTAATTATCTTGGTGTAGGCCTCTTTGGGTTCCTCTTGTTTGGGACTTTCTGTGCTTCCTGGACTTTTAAGTCTGTTCCTTTCCCCAGGTAGGGGACATTTTCTGTCATCATTTTTAAAAATAGGTTTTCAATTTCTTGCTCTCTTTCTTCTCCTTCTGGTATTCCCATAATGCGAATGTTGGGCCGCTTGAAGTTGTCCCAGAGACTCCGTATATGATCTTGACATTTCTGGATTCTTTTTTCTTTTTGCTCTTCTGGTTGGGTGTTTTTCCCCCCTCATATTCCACATTGCCGATTTGATTCTCAGCATCCTCTACTCTACTGTTGATTCCCTGTAAATTATTCTTCATTTCTTTTGGTGTAAACTTCATTCCTGATTGGCACTTTATTATGTCATCGATGTTTTCACTAGTTTCCTTAATAGTCTTACTAAGATCCTTGAGCATCCTTATAACCATTATTTTGAACTCTGTATCTAGTAGCTTGCTTGGCTCCACTTCATTTAGTTCTTTTCCTGGTGGTTTCTTCTGTTCTTTCCTTTGTGACATGTTTCTTTGCCTCCGCATTTTGCTGCTTCCTGATGTTTGTTTCTGTGTATTAGGAAGAGCTGCTGTGTCTCCTGGAATTGGTAGAGTGGCTTTGTGTAGTAGGTGTCTGGTAGGGTGCAGTGACTCAGCCTCCTCAGTCACCTGAGCTGGGCCTTCTAGGTGCCCCCCTCTGTGGGCTGAGTGCACTGTCCTGTTGTAGTTGAGCCTTGGTTGCTGTTAGCATCACTGGGAGGAATTAATCTCCAGGCCAGTTAGCTGTGAGGACCAGCTGCAACTACAGCCAAGAGCTGCTGTGCTGGAGACACCTCTGTGGAGCAGCAGGATTTACTTCAGTGGCGCTTTGGTGTTCACCGAGTCTGCCCCTTGAGTGTGTCACTAGTGGATGTGGTAGGGTTGTAATCCAGCGTGGTTGAAGCTGACCACCAGGTGCACTGTCTCTGGGGCCTCATGGGAGGTGCAAAGTCAGCCTCTGCCTATGTCTTGCCTAGGGCCACCCAGTATGAGCTACACAGCAATTTGGGCTTGGAGGTGTCCAGTAGAGGCCAAGCTATGAATCAAATGCAGGGTGCTGCTAGTGCCAGGCCTGGGACCACTTATTGAGTGGTATGGGGCATGTGGACACTAGCTGCTGCTTGTTTGAGAGATTTTAGGAAAGTCCTAAGCATGAGGCTCGAGAGGCCACTTGCATAGAAAAGCCCCTGGAAATGGCTTGGATGAAGCTTGCAAGTAGGGAGGGGCGGGGGTCTCGGGGAATCACCGGGGCGGGGCCAAAGGTGTGAGTCAGATTCAGAGAAGTCGCCTGCCTGCTGGCTCTTTCAGGGGAATGCTGGTCAAAGGAGCAGTGGCCTCTGCCAGCTCTTCTGTCTGGAAGAAAGCTGCCCCTCCAGCTCTCACCCTGATCCCAGGCAAGTTAGTTCCTCCCCGAATTTCTCAGGTTCCTTTCAAGCTGCTGCCAGGCGCTGGGGCTGAGGGAGCGCATCTGAGCGAGTTCGTGCGTGGGCCCTTTAAGAGGAAAGCCTGGGGCTCCCGCATCCTCCCCATCCCTCAACCTCAATCCCCTTCAGTTTTCACAGCCCGAAGTTGTGGGACTTCTCTGGAGCCCTGGGCTGGGAGCCTGATATGGGGCTGGGACCCTCGCTCCTCCAGGAAACCTCCACCGCTGAGATGTCCTCCTGGTTTTAAACTGCGGCACCTGGGTGTGGGTCTGCAGCTTTGCAATCCAGCCCGGATTCTGTCCCGTGTCTCTACCCCTCCTACCGGTCTCAATGCTTCTTCATTTCCCTGGTTATAGGACTTCTGTTCAGCTAGATTTTAGGAGGTTCTGAATAATGGTTGTTGTGTATTTTAATTGTAAGTTTGATGTGGTTGTGGGAGACGGCAGGTACTGCGGTGACCTATGCTGCCTCCTTGTCTCCATTGGTGCTTTTTAAAGTGTCCCTGCATAAGATCAGGAGACTGGGGGATTGCCAGATTTGTTTTGCTAACTGTTTAACTGAGCTATTTGCATATCTATATATTGGAGATCAGTAGCCTAAAGCTATGGAGAAAGGGGTGGAATGTTAATAGAACGTTACTGTGTTTGAATGGGACCAGTTTTTGCCCTCAGGGTTCTAGAGCAGAGAGCAGAGGCACAGTCCATCCCTTTTAACCCTTCACCTCTGTACTCAAAACATCTGCCTCTAAACTCCCGGTATTTTTTCAAAGGCTAAGGTGCTTTCTGATTAGAATAAGCAGCAGACAGAGTTGCATATGCTTGCAGTATAGCCAGAAGCACCCAGGGCTCTGCATTTGCTGCTTGGCGATTAAAGAAGATTAAGCTTTTTCCCACATGCCTAAGATACTGAAGTTGTTAAATTTAAAACAAAGAGACTTACTTATTTTAATATTACAAACCAGAATACACTTCTTGAGCTGTTCTTAATCTCTTTTGAGTTTTTAATAGCAAATGTAAAATAATATTTATGTATCAAGCCCATTGTCAGAGGTAGAGATCCTTTTTAAGACAATCTTATCTTACTTTCAAGGAAAAAAGGCTGTAATTGCTGAAACCTGTTTCTTTGAAGGTTAACATTTTAAAAATGCATACTACTCTTTAGAAATAAAACGATTATTCCTTTTATCCCCTCAGAGCCTACACACCTAATTCATCAGCACCTGCATTTAGTGCTTCACTTAACTTTGTAGAGACTGAAAGAGATTCCAGAAAAACCAACCACGAAATGGCAAACGGTGGTAATCAGAATCTAAAGGTAAGCTCAGTTAAAAACTAAAAATTATTTCCTGTATAGTCAGTCTCATATTTTTGCAATAATATTTGGTGATAATGGAAACTAAATATTTTGTTGATACAAACTTTTTTTGGCCTATGGATATGAAGAGAATGATTCTGTCTTTTAATAAATAATTGGGCTACCTCTTATAACTACATACAAATAATATTTCATTGTCACAGAATATTTTTTGCAATCACTTTTGTATCTTTTCAAACTTTTTTTCTAAATTTCGTTTTATACTTGGATGATTATCTTTGTATGCTCTCAATCAGTTACTTGGGAATGAGTGATAGTGTTGTCTGGTGGCCAGTTTACACCACCCTTTACAATGTTTTGGGTTTTTCTTTTCCTCTCTTTTCTTTTTTGCAATCTTTGTGGCTTCCTGGCATTGCACCAGCCCATCCACCCAATTTGTGCCAAGCCATGCTGAACCTGGGGGCACCCACCTCATCCCTGTATCTGCCCAAGGTGTTTCTGATGCCTCTGCTGCTCCTCCTGGTGGCCCAAGCCCTTGATTCATTGCTGTGCTCAGCTGAACCTTTGTCTGATGGCTTCTTAGGGCACCGCTAGGACTCCAGTCTGGCTTTGGGATCAGGGTCCCAGACCATTTGTATCTGAGTTTTTCTCTGAACTAGAGTGTACTCAAAACTGAGCAGATGCCACCAAGTCCACATTTATATTCCTCCCTGGGGGGAAAAGGAAATGGTGTTTTGGGTTAGATGGGTAGTAGACATTGGAGGGAACTTCTCAACCACCTTATAGTTCTTTTGTTGTTAATAATGAAAATCTCTAAGAGGCCGTGTTCAGTGAGGGGGAGAGGAGCCTACAGAAAGATGTGAAAGAATTGATTCAGTGCAGACACTCACTAAATAGCTGCCCTGTCTGCCCTCAGGCTAACTGGTCATCATCTCAGCGTTAGTTACTTTGTTTATTCATTTAGGTTTAGTAACCACCTAGGTGTTTTAGGCACTTGAACACATTCTGTTATAGTCTATTTTATTATTTAGCTTTTAAATTCTTCATGGCTCTGTTTTTTTGAAACTTCTCACTAATTTTATTTTCGTGGGTAGGTGGTAGATGAAGCTTTGAAGGTAGATGATTGTGACTGTCATCCTGAATTTCTACCACCGTCAGGTGAGTGCTTTCCTTTCGTAAACTGTTGCTGAGTCAGTGTAGTGTTGTCTGCACTTCTGTGTCCCAAGTTCGCACAAGCCTCACTCTCCCTTGTTCTCCGTTTACTTGGCAGGGCTTCTGTGTTCAAACATTGTTTTTTTCAAATCAATACACAAGTCTCTTCATGGCATTTAATAAATCTGATTTTGGAACTCCAAATAAAAGTACTGGAAAGGAAAGATGAAACTCTTCTTGGTTTGCTATCTAATTTCCATTAGGCCAGTGTTTTTCAACTTTTATATCATTATCTCCCCCCAGCCAAGCAGCTTTTTTAGACCTTTTTTCCCTAATTGCCTCCCCATGAAATTTATTACCACAGATAATATGTATCTGTTCATGTACTGTATGTACATCTCTGCTTTATATATAGGGTGAGGCAAAAGTTGGTTTACAGTTCGTATGGAAAATACAATAATAAATAATAATACAAGAATAAGCTCTGTTTTGTGTACTCAGAACTGTAAACCTACTTTTGCCTCGCTCTGTTGAAAAGGTAGATTTTTTTTCATTTCCCAATAACCACTTTTTACCCTGTTGGGGGTGATGGCACCTCTGCTGAGAATGGGTGCTTTAGGCTAATCCTAGTGTATTTTAAATTGTCTGCTTAGTGCATGTGTTTGTGTAGCAAGCAGGCAGACACAGCAGCACCTCACTGATTTGGCATTTGGGAAAGGAAGGGCCCAGAGAAGCATGAATATTCACTCTTCATTTACTTGTCAGTCTCCCTTAATACTACCAGATTTTGATGGAAATCATTCGAAAGTGGATTACATGATTCCCTGCCTTTTAAGCATTGTTTAAGAAAGTACAGAATTTCATGATGACTCAAGATGGTTGTTGTTATACACAAGTTTTTTTATCTCCATCTTTCATGTGTTCCTTCTAGGGTTCTTACAGGGAGATTGTGACCTAGTTAGTGATCCTGGTGCCGTCTTTTCAGTGTTTTGCTTCTGACAGCCATTTCTGTCATCTGTTGCTTGCAGTTCTGTCTTCTCTCAGAGTCCCATGCCACATATCCAACCACTTCCTACTGGGCATTTCCATTTGGTTAGCACATCGGCAAAATTATAAAGATGGGAAGCTCAGGTGACTGTCTTTACCCGATGTAACTCTAATAGCACATGAAAAATCTCTGATCATAAAACTTCTTTTTGGAAAACAGCTTTTAATTTATTGCTATTTCTTAGGCCATTATCATCACACAGTACATTTAAATAAATAATTTAAATACCATCCACACTTGAGCATCTACATTTGGTAGAAGAAATTGAGGTCCCTGGGTCAGGGCTCAGGAGTTCTGCTTCAGGTCACACAGCAGAAATCAAACTAGAATCCTTCTGCTTTTTTAGAAGCCCCTTCTGCTTTCTGAGACCACCAGAACCAGCTCAGGCTCTCATCCTGTCCTTAACATATGGCCTCTAACTTGCCTCTGCTGTCTCTCCCCAAAGCTTCCATCAAATCCACCTGTCCCTATTGCTCTGTTCTTCTCTGCACAGCTTTGCACATCTGTCCCCTGCCCAGAAGTGCACATGGGCTCCCTCCTCCCAGGAGACAAAGGCTGAGCTCACAGAGCTGGAGAAGTGAGTGGAAGCACGGGGCCCATAACACTCTTCCCAGCCTGCCCTAGCTGCCCTTTTCCAACCTGTCCTTTCTAAACTTGTCAATTCACACAGGTTTACTTGGTGCTTCTTAAAATGAACTCTGCTCTTGGGTTTGGCCCATTCTATCTGACTCTTACTTGTTCTTAAAGCCAAACACAAATGCTGCATCCCCACTAATGCTCTTCCCAGCCACTTCCCAGTGATTTCTCCCTTCTGTCAATAACAGCACAGTATCTTCTTTTCTTCTTACTGGGGATTGTTTAATTATTGCAGTGACTATTTCTTCCCATCTGATTGTGAACTACCTGAGAATATAAACTATAGCCTGTATCTCTGTATATATTCTAGGCCTGCATAATAATAATAATTATAATTTATAATAACTTTATAGCACACATAGACAGACATCATCAGTAGGTTCTTTTTTCGCTTACCTGTTTGTAGTTACGCTCACAATATGGAGGCTTCCTTGCTTTATTATTCAATTTACATATTTTTATTATTTTACTTTCAGGCTCATAGATTTTTATATCCAGATTTCAGGAACAAATAACTTTGTATTCGCAGGTCAGCCTTCAAAACATAAAGGAAAACAAAAATCTCGAAACAATGAATTGGAGCTCAGGTATGTTTTTTATCTAAGGCTTTTTGTTCTTCCCCGCTAATGTCTTCCTTCCAAGAAAAAAAGAAAAAAATCTTTTTCATTATGTTGAGTACTAAAATCCCTTTCAGATATCAAAGGCATGTTTTTTTGAGAGGGTCATTTTTGACTAAAGAATTATGAATTTGGGGAGAAATGGTATATAGTAATATTTCAGTTCAGGAGCTTGTGACTCTCCATTTACTCCGTGTGTAAAATGATCTTCGGTAAATGTATTCTTTTCTTTACATAAGCAGACTTTTATTTTTAAATAATTCAAAACACTTTTCTCTTTTAGTTCTGGTTCACAAGGGAGTTTACCAGCAGATTTGAAAAGCATCTTGGAGAAACAGTTTTCTAAATCTTCCAGAGCTGCACACCAGGTAAAGGAAAGGCTTTTCTGATGGAAAAAGCAAACGAAACAAAACATTTTTCACAAAACTAATCATGTACAGCTCTAAGATTTGTTTTTTCATAACTTTATTTGAGGACATATAATTTAATATGTTATTGCTAAGAAACCAAACTATCACTAATTTAGATACTAACTTTTCAGTTATGTTAACCAGAGATTTAAGTGGTGGTTGACACTGCAGAATTGTTTGCTTCCTAAAGGTTTAACAGGAAGGTGTGGTTTTCGTTTTGTTTGTTTTTGCAGGATTTTGCTAATATAATGAAAATGCTGAGGAGCTTGATCCAGGACGGTTACACAGCTCTGCTGGAGCAGCGGTGCCGGAGTGCTGCCCAGGCCTTCTCGGAGCTGCTTAACGGCTTAGATCCTCAGAAAATAAAGGTAGGATTGCCGTCCCCTAACCTGTTCATCAGTGCTGATGCGCCTGTCTGCTAACTTGGCTGTCTTGTGTGCTGTTGCTCTCCAGATGCATGTGGAAGAGAACCAGGGTTTTAACTTCACTGTTATCAGTGCCCCTTTGACCTTGCTGAGATGGCCTGAATCTGGCAGGTTACACTCAATATGTGACCCAGGGTCAGACTTCTTTGCTCTCTAGTTGGTGTTCATTTGAACTTCTGGCCTTTTCTCTTGATAAAGTACTAAATCAAGGATTTGGACTAGTTTTAGTCACATCTTTTTGTTCAGAAAGAAAGTATGAGCTAGGTAAATAGTTCATGCACGGTTCTGAGAGCAAATGTCTCCAGTTGTCACTATTACCCACTTACATGCAAAAGAGAATAACTTTAGTTATTCTCATCTGTTACAAACCACACCTTTAAGAAACTCTGAGACAGTGAGTCTGTGTTTTAAATACCTGACAGCAGTATATCTTTGCAAAATATATTTTCTATTTCTGTTTGGCCTTTATCCCTGTCATAGTGATTAGTGAGATTTTATTACACCTTTTCTGTTGTGGCTGTGATGCAAATTGGGCAGAATTATCTTCAGATTTTTAACTGCTACGTTTTTCTTGACAGCAATTGAACCTGGCCATGATTAACTATGTCTTAGTGGTCTACGGACTTGCTATTTCTCTCCTTGGGATAGGACAGCCTGAGGTAAGATTTGTTACAGAAATAATAACTTAAATATGCCATTGATTTTAGAAGATTTGTAAACATAGTTGTTTCCCCTTATGGGCTTATTTCCATCTGCATACTTTCTGGTTATTTTTTTCTGAAATACTTGTTTAGTTTGTATTGTTGTTTTAAAAGAAAATTTAGTTTGTGTTCCCATTAGAAAAAAGTTATGTCAGACAGCCAGTGGAAATCTACTTTTTATTTGTATAGAAAATAAAGGATCTAATGATAGATTTCAGAAACATGTTGAGGGAAAAGGGCAAGTTGGAGACCATAAACATTGTAGTACCACTTATGTACTATTTGGAAAACATACATCAAAATAGTGTGTATTGCTTATGGGTGTCTGTGCATCTTGTAAAAGTTACAAGCATGGACTAAGCCCTACATCGAATTTAAAATAATGGTTGCATTTAGTGATGGAAAAAAGGAAGTTAGCAGAGAGACTTTATTTCTTTAAAAAAACTAAAAAAACGATAATATCTCTTTGTTCTGGGTGGTATTTTCTTATTTTCTTGACTTTAGTGTTTCCGTAACCACATAGTTATATGTTGCTTTCCACGGTTTTAAGTTTTTGATAAAGGTTGAAATGGCTTTAGAATTACCTCAGGTGTAATATATCCTTGAATAATTATAAAGGCAGTGTTTATTAAAATACATTTCATTTTCAAAATTGAGCTATCAGCTATTAAAGTGTGTATACATTTTTGGGAGGATACCCTGTATTTTTTAGATTGTTCGAGATGAAGTTCATAATCCGAATTCTTTTATTCTTGGCAAAGTAATAATAAATACCTTATCTTTTACTTTATTGGAATTGAAGAGATAGTTTATTATATTTGTGATTTACTTTGAAGTAGTGAGCCTGTGTTGCTCAGTGGTTGAGCGTCCACCTAGGAACCAAGAGGTCATAGTACAATTTCCGGTCAGGGCACATGCCCTTGTTGTGGGCTCGATCCCCAGTGGGGCATTCAGGAGGCAGCTGATTGATGATATTTCTCTCCCATCGATGTTTCTATCTCTCTATCCCTCTTCCTTCCTCTCTAAAAATCAATAAAACCATATTTAAAAAAAAAAAGAAAAGAAAAAAACTGTTATGATAGAAATTGAATCTTAAAAAGAATTTCTTTCAGAGTAACTCTAGAAGGAAGCGATATTTACTCCAGTACAGCCCTTGCTTAAAACATGTTTGGAATGCCCCCTTTGCAACTGGCCTCAAAGCTTCTCCATTTTGTAGTGACATTTCTTTTTTCACCCACGATGGGGTTAGCAGTATTGCCTAGAGCTTAGGTCTTTGGATTTTTTTCAAAAAAAAAAAAAGTATGGAAGGCACAGATTTTTCCACAGTTGAGAATATTCAAAAGAACATATTTAAGCTCTGAGAAGCTATTGCTAAAGAGCTGGTTTTAAGATTGAGCATTTGTCTTATGCCACAAAGCATGTGGCAACATCACTGGCATGCCTGTGCTCCCAAGGGGGCAGCACTCAACCAGGATATATGCACGGTGTCTTTGCATCCAAATCAGTCTTTTCACCATGAAGTCACACTATGTTGTGTTCGCCAGCACCCCGGGCCCTCTGTGTGTGTTAGTAAATGCTCATCTGGTTGGTGGTCTGGTGTGTTCATTGCTGCTTTTCATTCTGGAGCTGGGTCACTATGGATGTAAAATATTGTCACAATTTATACAATTGCTAAGAAAATGAAATCTAGAAGGTGTAATTTTGCCAAAGAAATTTTGGACAGATAGTTCTTTCTAATGTTGCACAAAAAGAATCAGCCTTCAGGTAAAATCACTTCCAGCATTTCTTTTTTCTGTAAGTGATCATTGTTTTTATTGCTATTGAAGGAATTATCTGAAGCTGAAAACCAATTTAAGAGGATGATTGAACACTACCCCAATGAGGGACTTGATTGCTTGGCCTACTGTGGAATTGGAAAAGTATACCTTAAAAAAAACAGGTTAGTAGAAACCATCTCGTTTACGCTCTAGGCTGGTAACTCATTCAAAGTCTAAAGTGTGATGATCCCTTTTCTGGAATTATTTTGTTATCCTTTCTGTGACACACTATTATAATTGTGTTCACTTTGAGGACTGGCATTGAATATCGATATTAAAGTAAGGGCATTCACATCAGTTCCTAACACTTCCTAATTTTGAATCTAGTAAGAAATTCAATAACAGAGTAATTTGACACAAAGTGTTTTTTATTTTATCTTTTGGTATCTGTTATTTGAAATGGTCGCTGAATTGATATAAATTAATGCTTTACAAGTCTGATTGTTTAATTTTTTGGGTTAAATATCTATTTCCCAAAAAAACTGTTTGAAGATGGTCTTAATGCAAGGTACATATATGTTCAAAAACACCATGAGTTAGGAATAAAAATCTCTTCTCTGAATTTATTATCACAGTTGTAGTTCTTACTCAAAGTTTAGTATGTTGCTGTTCCCCAAATTGCCATATGAACCTTAGGGGATAGGATTATGCCTTGAGCTTTAAAAAAGTATCTCCCTATTTCTGCCCCTCGTACCCAGTATGATGTAGGTATGTTAGATTATAAAGAAATAATGGTTGAATGATTATCATTTATAACTTTTAGTTATCTTAAGTTTTCATCTAGTTTTTTAGAAGAAATTTTATCAGACCATTGGTACTCTTGGGAATCCAGTCTTAGAGTGTGCCTAGAACCTTTTTTATAGATTCGTAAAGATTGAAGAAAGTTCTTTTACTTCCTGCAGTTACTGTCTGGCCAGGCTAACCTATATTAAGAATCAGGTGAGATAGGAGAAGTAAGGGTTTAGTATTCTGTGAAGCAATAGTAAATGAAGTTAATTTCAGTGTTTAGCGTCAACTGTATAGGGCATACCTGGGTAATGCAGTGGTCACACACAGATAGTCTTAAGGTCTAGAAAAATAGCATAAATGTGTGAAGTCATTGGTATTGTGATAAATTAAAAAGTCTGCCATGTTGAAATTTACATTTTAATTTAAAAATAATATGGTATGGGGTTCAGTGTCTAATGTGTTGTTTTTTGCCATTATAATGTGCAGTTTCTGGTTTAATGTCCCGCTGTTTATAACTGTCTAGATGGTAGGTGGTGATGAGTATCACAGGCAAAAATAAGTTTTTAAATTGGGAAATCATGTTAAGATTGGAGAAAACAGGAAAAACCCTCTTTTGTCTCTAGTCTGAAGAGAAGAAGAAAGACTTGGTTAACTTTATAATCCAGTATTTTCGTATCTTTTGTTTAATGGACTGTGAGAATCCATTGACGTTATTTTTTTAAAACCATAAATCAGATTAGATTAAAACATTTCATATTTATAGTTAAAACAATTTACATACATATTTGTTCTGTTAAAAAAATTCACTGCCTTATGGTTGAAGAAAGATACCCAGAATACACTACCTCTTTAAAAATTTTTCAGCAGGGCGATTTTTACTTATAGACGTCCTAATAAAGTCAAGTTTATTTTTTTTAATTATTATTTTTTAATATATCTTTATTGATTTCAGAGAGAGGAAAGGAGAGGGAGAGAGAGAGAGAGAAACATCAATGATGAGAGAGTCATTGATCGAGCCCGCAACCCGGGCATGTGCCCTGACTGGGAATCGAACCCCGATCGTCTAGATCCCAGGTTGACACTCAATCGCTGAGCCACGCCTGGCTGGGCATAAAGTCAAGTTTAAAAAAAAAGAATTTTCCTATTTATGGTTAATGAGTTGAAGTGGAGGGTTGCCGTTTCTCTACAAGAATCTAGTTTAATTAGCTTAGTAGATGATACATAAAAATGGAACAAGATTGTTCTATTTTTTGTTCTAATTGTTGGAAACTTTAAAAAAATAAGTTACAATTTTAAAAGAACTAGTGTACACCTACCATAATAAAGCCAGTACCCAGGCAGATTTGTGTTTAATTTATATTACTTTTAATAAGCAAACAACAGTAAAGAAATACAGGTTACATTGACTATTTCTGTGCAGTGATTTATTAGACGTACTCTTACAATTTAGCTTGAAATCTCTGACTTTTATTGTGAGAATGAAAATTCATGTCACATCTTTTAATACTTTTCATAATTATGACTAGGTTTCTAGAAGCTCTTAATCACTTTGAGAAAGCAAGAACCTTGATTTTTCGACTACCTGGAGTGTTAACTTGGCCCACAAGTAATGTGGTTATTGAAGAGACTCAGCCAGGGAAAATAAAGGTAACCATTTATTTCTGCAGAAAGCTTCTTACTAACTATAAAAGCCCATCTGCACTGACTGACTCTGGTGTCAGAAGACAGAGAGGAGCATTCTGTCTTTGACTCCCCCACAGGCATTTCCCCTTTAAAGACTAGTGAGAATTACTGACATTTACTAAATGTTTTCTATGTGCCAGTCACACACCTGCCATATGGTATTACCTTTAATCCTCACAGAAGTCCTACCGGATGAGTACTATGATTTCTCCCATGTTATGGAGGGGGGATTAAGTTTAGAGAGGTTAAGTAATGAACTCAAGGTTAAAGAGCTAGGAAACGGTGGAGCTGGGACTTGAATCAAGCATTCTGACTTCAGTGTGCATTATTAAGCAGAGGGTATGCTGGCCTTCAGAAAGGCACATCAGCGTTTCATAGTTGCTATAGTTACTGACATGGTACTTGAAGACTGAGAAAGTATAAATTTAGTCTTATATCTAGAACCATAAGGTGTTTTGCTAGTTTTTGAAAGACTAAATTCTGTGTGAATTGACTGGAATATAGGCCTTTAGTTGTGGTGAACCCTGTCATGTACTCAGAACTTGCTTTTGACCAAAACTTTTTAAAAGCACAGGGATCAACTCTTATAACTCAATAATAAAAAGACAATCTAATTAAAAAGTAGCCAAAGGATGTGAATAGACATGTCTGTCAAGAAGTTATACAAATAGCCAGTGAGTATGTGAGTGGTGTTCAACAACATTAGCTGTCAGAGAAATACAAATTAAAACCAAGTGAGATACTACTTCACATTCACTAGTATGGTTATCATAAAAAAGGCAGCGAATAACAAGTGTTGACAAAGATGTGGAGAAATCAGAACCCTCGTACATTGGTGGTGGGCATTTAAAGTGGTGCGGCTGCTTTGGAAAATAATTTTGTCTGGCACTTCCTCAGTGAGTTAAAGAATGAGTTACCATGTGGCCCAGCAATTCCACTCCTAGATCTATACAGAGAAAGAAGTCACATGTTCTCACGAAAACTTGTACATGAATGTTCATAGCAACGTTACAGTAGTCAAAAAGTGTCCATCACCTGATGAATGGTTAAATAAAATGTGGTCTGCTTATACAACTGAATGTTAGTCACAGAAAGGAATGAAGTACTGACACATGCTAAACATGAATGAACCTCGAAAGCATTATTCTAAGTAAAAGAAGCTAAACACAAAAGGCTACAAATTGTAGGATTCCATTTATATGAAATCTCTGGAATAGGCAAATCTACATAAAGAAAGAAAGTAGACTAGTGGTTGTGAGGAGCTAGGGATTGGGAAATAGGGAGGGATTGCTAATGGTTATGGGGTTTTTTCTTGGGTGATGAAAATGTTGTAAATTTAGATTGTGGTAATGGTTGTGCAACCCTGTGAATATACTAAAAACACACTTTAAATATGTGAAGTGTATGGTATGTGAATGATATCTCACTGAAGCTGGTATTAAAAAAATAAAACATGAGTAGCTGTGTTTTCCTCTTTATACTAGATTGGGATGGAGGCATGGGAACTATTGATAACAAAACCCAGCTCTGGGTGTGGGGCATGAGTCTCTTGGAGGCTGAGAAGCAGTGGGATAATTCTTCAGGGAAAGAACAAGCACAGGTGGCAGGGATTCTGGGAGTAGGTGCATGAGCATGCTGGGGTCCTAGGTGAAGTGCCGTTGGGAAGCAGGAGAATAGTAGCATCCTAAGTAAGGGTTTTTCTACTTTATTTAACTCCCTCAGAGTGCTTAAAGGAGATTTCTAAGAGCTATATATTATAAAATGAGGTTTGATGGTTATAACAGGATAAGAGTTTGATTCTGACTTTGAAATTCTAAATTTTTTTTTTAGTCTTTGCACTCCCCCCCGCCATCCCATTCTCTCTTGACATGTCTCTGTATTAACCTCCATTAAAAAGTGGTATGTAATTTGTTCTTGGCTAAAAAACATTTAGTTATTCCTAGGCTGAAAATATTTTGACAGCAAGAGGTTATTGAAATCACAAGCATTTTGATTGATGAATTAGTTAGTATAGCAGTATTTTTTTGTGTTTTTTTTGTTTTGTTTTAGAGTGTCTTAGAGAAATTTATTGAAGAATGCAGGTTCCCTCCTGTGCCAGATGCTGTTTGTTGCTATCAGAAGTGCCATGGATATTCCAAAATCCAGATATACATAACAGATCCAGACTTTAAGGTAAATAATGAATGCACATTAGGACATTAACTTGCACAGTTGAGCTTTAAAATGAATTCAGAACAAATCCTGTAATTAAAGGCACCCAAGTTCTCTAGCTTGCCCGTATTTTAATGTCCTGTTGGCTACTCCTTCCCCTGGACTTCTTTAGGTCCGCATCATTTCACATGGGAACCCAGAGCCGCTGAAATTAACACCAAGGGCAGGGTGGTGACCTGAGAAGGCAGGCTGCCTAATTCCCTTTCCCCTTTCTAGCCACTGTGTCAAAAACTGCCTGTTCCTAAGAGATCAGGAAACAAAATGAGGTTATTTCCTCTGATTAGTTGCAGTTCTAATCTCTTGTAAAATCTGACTCCAAGAATCTAAAGGCCATTGTGATCACTGAATTGGCTCTCCGAAACCTAAGCTTGAGACCAAGTCTGCATTTAATTGAGTGAATAAGTTACTGAGCCTTAGTTTATTCAAGAAGATAATGGCTGCCCATTGTGGCACTGTCCCTGATCAGAGCAGATGAAATAATGTTTATAAAATATTTTATACATCGTAAAGGACAGTGCAACTGTAAGCTGTGAAAATGAGTATGTCAGTCAAGCTCTCGCACTGGGCATTCTGGGGTACAGAAGGGAATGTGACGTCTAGTTATGTCTGCCAGGTGAATGTACACATTGGGAGTGAGTGAGAGAATGTTTGTGAGAAAGAGAAGGGGGGTGGGGAGAAGATGCCTTAAAATGTGAATTAAAAAAATTTTTAAACCCCCAGGGTTTTATACGAATCAGCTGTTGCCAGTACTGCAAAATAGAATTTCACATGAACTGTTGGAAGAAGTTAAAAACAACCACCTTTAATGATAAAATTGACAAGGTAAGGCTAATAAGATTGTCTGGATTTTTTGTTTTAACATGTTTCTGTTGATTTCAGAGAGAAGGGAGAGAGAGAGAAATATCAGTGGTAAGAGAGAGTCATTGATCTTTAATGCCCCCTGTGGGGATTGAACCAGCAACCAGGTATGTACCATAACTGGAATGGAACTGTGACCTCCAGGTTCATGGGTCGACACTCAACCACTGAGCCACACTGCTGGCCTGTCTGGATTTTTTAGTATGCTTATTGTATGTTAATTTTTTCCCCCCTGAGACACTTAAGAGAATGTCTTAAATGAATATAAATTTCTTCTTGTGCATTCTAGACATAATCAGAAAGTTTTAAATTAAAACTTCAGTAGTAAAGCGGAAAATCAGTTTTTGTTTTTATTTAGTACAAGTATAAGGGCAATAACCATAAATATCTTCAACATATTATTTAACCAACTTTTTCATTGGAATGTTATGATCAAAAATAAAAATTTTAATGTCTAATTGTAAAATTTAGGTCTTAAATTATGCACTGACAATTTTAGTCCTTCAGGGATCTTTCATTTACTTCAAAGTTATGATGTAGATTTGGGGTCTCAAATTTTTTTTTCTACCAAAATTTGATGAGATAATTTGTACTAAGGAATCAAGTTAAATTTTATATTGCCACTTCTCATTGGGGTTTCTCTTATTTAGCAAGATAATGATGTTAATTATCATTAGCTAGGTATACTTTCTGAGAAGGCACAGTTTTAAAATCTTACTTGTATTCATAGAATTTGTTTGTGATTCATATAAGTAGGGACTTAAAAAGAAAAAAAAAGACACCTTTTTCTACACTGCATAGCCTCATGTAAACCCCTATCTTTATTGGGGGGAAAATAAGGTGGTGTGCTCGATGCCTGTTAGCAATAGGAATTATACAGGTTTGGTAGAGACAAATTCTCACATTTTATACCTTTTCTTGACATAGTTAACTGGAGATATCATGATATGACCAAATAGCTATTGCTGTTGTCACTTCTGCTATGTTTTTGACTTACCTTAATTGAATTTCTCCGTGCACATTCCCTTAGTGGTCTTAACCATTCCCATGGGTTGAGATATGCCCTCTGTAAATTAGCTTTCACCAGGATATATGAAGGAATATACAACCCAAATATCTCATGACTACAATGAGAGAGTTTCATCTTGCTTATATCACTTCCCTGAAGTTCTGCAGCTGTTGGCCAGGATTGGGTTGTAGCCGCTCTAGTCTCTGTGGCTGTGTTTTTGTATCTGAATTGAGGTTGCCCGGAACATGTTCTTGTGGCAGAGGGTAAAAATCAAGGGCCAGTCCATTCAGTGTTTCTTAAAGCTTTTGCTGGGACATAGTATACATCGTGTCAGCTCTCCTTGGGTTGACCGAAACAAGTCATGTGGTCAACCCTATAGCAGATACTGCTTCTGTAGGGAGGCTCTGAAAATCACATGGCAATGAGCAGGGGCTTTCAGTGCCTCCCTGAAGGAGGTTTTTGACCATATTTTAACTGATCCTGATGGTTAAAATGGTATACGTGTATAGACTTATTCTGATATATAGCACTTTTTTTTTTCAATCAAATAGGATTTTCTACAAGGAATTTGTCTTACACCTGACTGTGAAGGTATCATTTCTAAGATTATCATCTTCAGCAGTGGTGGTCAAGTTAAATGTGAAGTAAGTATCTAAGGGGAAATCTTATTAAATTGATAATGAGAATGCTTATACCTTTTAAAGCATGATTTAAATTTCTGGAAGTTGTACAGTTTGGATCTTGTCTTTTCCAGGAAACAAACAGTTACTTCATTTCAGACAGTATAGGAGCTATTAGGATGGGAGAATGCCTCTTTGCAATGAAGGATTCTTACATTCTTTTATTTCCTAACAAGTAAAGGAGGCTTTTACATTTTCGTTTTACTGTTGTTACTTTTTTTATAATGTTGTTTTCTTTACCCCCAGTAAACTTCTGGGTATTTGTGGGGTGGGGATCCTTAGGGAGGTGAAGAGGGTCTTGAGGGATTACATTTAACTGGTCAATATGGAGGTGGCAGGAGTGGATTGTTGTAATGATATTTGTAGTTTATTTGATCTCTGCTTGCTTTTAATTTTAAAAAAATTTCTTGCTAAAGTGCATCTACTCTCTTGTTCCTCTTTTCAGTAAATTGTTTTGCTAAAGTTTTCTGGGCTTTTGTCTGGGTCAGAACATCATCACTGTTGTTTGACAGATTGACCATTGACTGTGTGTGCTTGTGAAATGCTTGTTGCTTGTGGTTTTGTGCTTTATGTCATGGGCGTATGAGACAAATTTTGGATGTCTTTGTTTTATTTAAAGTTTGAACACAAGGTCGTAAAAGAAAAGGTTCCTTCAAGACCTATTCTGAAACAGAAATGTTCTAGGTAAGATTTTTAACAATGAGTAGCTTAATGATGTCTTTTACAATATAATTCTGTTAAATGCAGGTTTCTAAATCATGCTATTTTTTGAATTGACTGTGCACACATGTCCAAATAAGTGGTTTTTAAATGATTTTTATGGATTTTTAAAACTTAAAGAGAACTAGCCTGAAATGATTAAATACTGAAAACTTGAATCAGAAGCCTTATTTAGTGGTTGAATTTATAAGTAAACTTATGACATTTGATGCCGTGAAATGACTTTTGATTAGTAGATTTGTCAGGTAAAAATTGTATACTTAGTTGTTTAATTCCAAAAGCACTTTTTTAAATCTCTCTTCAGCAAACATTTTGAACCAATGACTTATTTCTCACCCTGAAATACGTAGTGTACTGTCAAGATTATTCCCTTCTTTGTATCTTTTTGTTCAGATGAAATAATTTCAATGCTTCTTGCTTTTCTTTTTGGTCCTGCCTCTTGTTTTCCATTCTAATAAGTGATTTTTTTCATCATTGGTGACCAAGAAAAAGCAAAAGGAAAGATGAACAGACTTATTTGTTGAAGAGAATTCATTGTAACCATATCAACCAAATTCTGGGGTTGTGGGCCATTATTGGGATGTGGAAATAATAGTTTACTGTGGGACCTGTTTTTGAAATGAGTGTTTACATGTATTATCTTGTGGAGTAATTTTTGTTATTCCTCTTCACCCTAAGCAGTAACTTACAAACATGGCAATAATATCTGTATAGTTGGTACATGCCATCCTTAGTGAAAAGTCACCCAGTCACTGAGGTTCCTGTTTTTATGAAACAAGTACCTTTAGTTTGACTGAATTGACCACGTGTCAACAGTTTTTGACACTGAACAGAAGATACAGGCTAAGTTCTAACTAAAAAGGAACACTTATAACTTACTGCTTAGAGAATGGTTTCTATAGTAGGCAAAGGAAAATAGTTAATTGAGTTTATAACAAAGGTGAATTACCACTAATTAACAATGTTTATCAGCCTAGAGAAACTAAAACTGAAAGAAGACAAAAAATTGAAGAGAAAAATCCAAAAACAGGAAGCAAAAAAATTAGCACAAGAGAGAATGGAAGAAGACTTAAGGGAAAGTAACCCACCCAAAAACGAAGAGCAGAAAGGTAAGCTGGAGTCCAAGGCATGATAAAAATGCCCAATTCCTACTTAAACTACAAGTATAAATATTCCTCTGACTGGGCCTTATGTTAGTTGTTACTGAATTGAAATCTGGATTTCGGTTAATATTTTAATACTGTCTTGGGAGCAGGTGCTATAAAGGGCACTGATATTGGAAGCAGTGCACGGGGATTCAGAACACTCCCTGCCACTACTGTAAGGTTCCTTATCCCTGAACCAAAGGTGGAGATAATACCCACCATGAGTATTGCATGTTTGACAATGGTGTGTAGTCTCTGCTAGGAGCATTTAAGTTCTAAAAGAGTGAACTATAAATTGACTAATAATTATGCTGAGTTCAAAGGTTGCCTAGTCCAGCCTTTTGTTTTATGCTTATCTTGTCGTCATTCCGTGATCAACATGGGAATGTATCTGGTATGTCACTGTTGCTGTGGGTGTGTTGGTCTGTGTGTTTACTTCTAGATGCATTGAAGTAAGTTACTCTTATTTTGTGTAACTACGGCCGTCTATCAAAAGAAATATTTCCTCTTGCTGTATTTTTCATCTAGTAATCCATCAACGTTTCACAAATCAACCAAAATGATCTTTCTTACTGAAAAGTTTTCAGTGAATGTTGGTATTTTGACTTTGCATGCTTCAAGAGGCTAAGTGGCCATCCATTAGGGAGATGAATGGGTGGGAAGATGAACTTCTGAGATATTTTCCGACTTGTAGTCAGTGAGTCCACAGGTCTGCAATTTAGGATCCAACAATAAGATGAATAATATAACAAAAACTACTAAATACTAATTGAACCTGTAACTGAATAAATGATCCCTTTAACTCCAAAAAACCCCCTTTGTATTCTTAATGACTAAACATGTTTATTCGATATAAATTTTAGGTAGTTGATGAGGCTTGGTTAGAATGGTTGAGGGAAGTAACCTTATTTTAGAGGAACTAAAATTTTGGATGTTACATGAGTAGTACAGAGTGAAGGAGATAACGGTACTTCTGATATGTTTTATTTAACGTGAACTTTCATATTTTTTCAAAGGTATTGTTAAATAAGAGATGGGGCAAAAGCAGTGTACACTTGTGAGTAAGTGAAACAGAGTTTATTCTTGTATAACTTTTTTTTTAAAATATTTTTTTTATTGATTTCAGAGAGAGAAAGGGAGAGAGAGAGATAGAAACATGAATGATGAGTCATTGATCGGCTGCCTTCTGCACGCCCCCTGCTGGGGATCGAGCCCACAACCCGGGCATGTGCCCTGCCCGGGAATCAAACCTCAATTTCCTGGATCCTAGGTCGATGCTTATTTATTGCATTAAATAATGCAATAATTATTACTATTAATTATTGTGTTATTTTCCATACAAGCAACTATAAATGTACTTTTGCCCCACTCTGTATTTATATTCATAATTTAGAATTTTTTAAAAAAATATATCTTTATTGATTTCAGAGAGAGGAAGGGAGAGAGAGAGTTAAAACATCAGTGATGAGAGAGCCGTTATTGATCGGCTGCCTCCTGCACACCCCCGGCTGGGGACTGAACCTACAACCTGGGCATGTGCCCTGACTGGGAATCGAACCATAATCTCCTGGCTCCTAGGTCGATGCTCAGCCACTGAGCCACACCTGGCCAGGCTAGAATTTCTTGAGTTGTTTATTTAAAACAACATGAAGAGTCCATCTGAGCCATATTTATATTATTCTGTAATGTTACATCATCTTTTTCTGAGTTTCTATCTTTGCAAGTTGGTACTATTTCTCACTGTAACTGACCACCATGGTTTATCCTTAGAAACTGTAGCCAGTGTTGAGAGTTGCCAGTTCCTGGATGACAGGATTCTGCAGTGCATCAAGCAGTACGCCGACAAGATTAAATCCGGTGTGCTGAATACGTCTAAGCTCCTCAAAGAGTTGCTCTCGTGGAAGGTTTTAAGCACAGAAGACTACACATCCTGCTTTTCCAGCAGAAATTTTCTAAGTGAAGCAGTGGACTATGTCATTCGTCACTTGATTCAAGAAAAGAATAGAGTCAAAACAAGGATATTCCTGCATGTTTTGAGTGAGCTTAAAGAAGTGGAGCCAAAATTAGCCACCTGGATCCAGAAACTTAATAGCTTTGGTATGTCATTTCCTTCTGGAGATGCAGTGTAGTAGGAAGGGTAAATATGGGCTCTGAGGCTTTTTTCATTTTCTTATCATTTATGAGTTTTTAAAATATAGAATTGAAAATTGATATGGTTAAAAATACTATTTTCCCAACTCACAATTTTTAGCTTATTTTATAGAAAGGTTATTACAGTATACTTTTTCAAAAGATGTAAACACAAGAAAGTTCAGTCAAAAAATCTGGTCCCATGTTATGCTAAAGTATTTGTAAATGTGTAAAACGTAAGTACTATAAATAGCAGGCCTAGCCATGGGTACATAGCAGCCCCTGGAGTCAGCTGTCTGTGCCCTCTGTGGTTGCCTTGGCAGGGCCAGAGTAAATGATTTTGCTGGCCGTATAAGGCCTTGGGCTGGACATTCCCTACCCCTGGTGGAGTCACATCATTTGCACGTTTAAGCAGAAAGAGGGATGGGGACGTGGGTAGGGGGAAATTAACATTTCAGTACTAGCTGTGATCTGCCTCCCCTCACTGAGCACATGCTGTGATCTGAGCCTTAAATGGGGGGTGTGAATGTGGTATTTCTTCATAGGCAGTTTCCTTAATCCTTGTATGAGTATTTTATATGGTCCCTGGTTTTGGTGTTTAAAGGTAGTAATTTTTCATGCAGCAAGACCTCTGCCTGCTAACTATTTCATCTGGAAGAAACATTGTGTAGGGGAATTCTGGTTCAGCAGTTTGCTGGCTGAGAGCCTATGGCCCCTGTAGGAGGTAACTGTGCTGTATGAGAGGCATGTGGGAGAGAGGGCAGAACTAATCTTTGCCTTTCAGTGGCTGTGTTAGTAAGTAGCAAGTGTTCACCATACTTTCAGTAATAGTGCATGGAGTTACAGTCATCCTTTTTCTGATTTGGACAAAGCGGATAAAGTGGGAATGATGAGCGCCTTGACTTCTGTGAGGAGTGTTAGGAGCCATGATATTTGGGGGAATATGGAGCAGTTCTTGGAGGTGTTGGGAGGAGTTTACCCATATACTGTTTTAAAGGCATTTGTAAATTAAAAGCGTTGTAAAAGCTTGTTGGTTTGTACTAATTGGAATGAAAGTCATGAATTAGTGAAAAGGTTATTGCTGTATTTTTAAAGGAATTTAATGCCTTTTCCTAAGTCTAATAAAAACAATAATAGAAGCCTTTGGCCCACCTTATTCAACTAATAGATAAGAATCACTGTAATTAGCATATCCATGTTGAATGGTGTCTCTGAAATGTACAATAGCTTAAACAAGATTGCTCTCGAGTACATGTTTTCACTACGATTGTAAGCAGACTGTCCTGAAACCATTTTCAAAGGTATGAAGGTGAATGTGATTGTACAGTAAGTGATTTCCCTCCTCCTGATATGGGCTTTGTTTTTAATCACAGGCTTAGATGCCACAGGATCTTTTTTCTCTCGTTACGGAGCGTCTCTTAAGGATCTTGATTTCAGCATCATGACTTTTCTCTGGAATGAGAAGTATGGTCACAAACTAAACTCTATAGAAGGAAAGCAACTGGACTATTTCTGTGAGCCAACATCATTGAAGGAAGCCCGGTGTTTGATATGGCTGCTAGAAGATCACAGAGACAAGTTCCCGGCGCTGCATAATGCTTTAGATGAATTCTTCGATATCATGGGTATGTGGGCTTAGTTTCAGTTTATATTATACCTAATCTTAGGAAACAAAATATGTGGAGGACCTAATTTATTTAAATACTTCACAAAGAAAATAGTGAAAATTATTATGGTAAAACCAGCTTAGTTGGGGAGGTTGGTGATTAGGAATAGTAATTTTTTTCATATCATAAAACCTTTTTACTCTATGGAAATAAGTGTTGTAGAGATACTCAGATGGATACATTATACTGAATATACCATCACTGTTCTCATCTTAGATATTTTGCATCATGGCAAAGATCGCATGTTAAATTGACAGGATTTATTAAGAAATGATTTTATTTGTAGCAGTCAGGAAAACTTGCAGGAGTAGGTGATGTTTGGGGATTCTAGAGCAGACAGCACATCTGCTGTGGTGGGAGGAGCTGGAACTGTGAGTCAGGGAAAGTGGGCTGTGGCTCAGCTTCTTCCCTCATTCATTTCATTAAAAAGCTCATTTTTACTGCTGCCTCAAGGCCTATGCTAGGAGTTAACAAGGAATTCAGAAATGCTTACGCTAGTCCCTGCCCTCAAGGGCCCTATTTAAGCTCTACAGAAGCGAGTAAAATGAGTATACGTGTGATGTGGGGGTAAGCTCAGTGAGAGAGGACCAGAGGAGCAGCTTCAGAGGAAGGACTGAGCATGTGCATTCTCCTAGCAAGAGGAGAGCCTGGTGTGTGGATGGGGTCCAAGGTGGAGGTGGAATTGCACAGGGTGACCTCTAGGCTCAGAGAGGATGGAGGGCAACGGGGGCCTGGGTAAGGGCTCAGAGTCCAGTTTGACAGAATAGGACAGCTACTAGTCAACTCCTTAGCTGCTCTCCATCGTTAGTTTCTTCATCTTTAAAATAGAGAATTTGGAGATCTGTGTGGGCCCATTTTGCTTAAATGCTAAGATTTTAGATTCTAAATTAATTTGAATTTTTTATTTTTGCTACTACATGTATATTTTATAATGCCCCTCCCCTTTCCCTCAGCATCAGAAGTTGACTTTATTGTTAGACATTAGACTTTTAAATTTCATGCTCTTTGTTTTAAAGTGTATGTTAAAAGGTCCGTCTCTGTACAAAAGTGTCACATGTTACCAAGGTCAGATGCAGTATAAGGAACCAAAAGGGCTTACTTTTGTTGTGATTCTTAGGAAAGAGCACACTCACATATAGATGGCTTTATTTTTCCAGGACACTGCTTCATGACTGGAGGTGACATGCCACTTGACAGCCTGAATTTATTGCCATCAGTTTGCTGCTGCTGGTAATAAAATGCTGTCTTGACTGAGCTTACACAACCCGATGCATGTTTGGATCACATAACAAGACAGCTAAAATGACACAGTTCCTGCTGTGTGCATTTTTCCTGATTCTGGTGTTCTGTACCTAAAATATGCAGTCTGTCTGGCTGTGACTCTTTCTCTGCTCTCAGTCATAGAGTCAGAAGCCACCAGCCAAATGACTGGCCAAACAGATATTTAAATCCCATAGTTCTGGCTCTTACCTTTACCCCAGACATTTTAAATTTTATCTTTCATTAGAATTACTTACATTTCTTTAAAGTTTAAAAGGTCCATTGATCTTGTAAGTAAAGCTATTCACTAATGTCACCAATGCTGTGATAATTGGGAGCCCCAGCCTCCCTCCTGAAGTCTGTATGCACATTTCCCTATTGGAATTTCTGTGTAGAAAGCCAAGAGGCCGGCCCCTTAAGAGCAATGTGGCTGAACCCGTTTATATCCCACTTACTGAATTTATCTCACTTAATAACATTGTTGTATATCTTGTTTTTTAAACAAGAAACCTAGAATTAGCCTCAATTCTTCCTTTTCCCTATTACCCCATACCTAGTTTGTCAGCAGTCCAAATGAGCTTTATCTTGGATCTGTCCTTTTCTTTCCATCTCCACTTCCCTCGGCCAGGACCCTAGTGATCTTTCCATGATCTGACTATTGCAGTAGGCTCCAAACTGGTCTCCATGCCTCTAGACCCTTTCGCTCCAAATCTTCCTCTTAATATTGCCTCTAGTGATTCTTGAGGCACACCTGTTTGATCCTATAACTTCTGCTGCTTCATTTTGCCTACAGATTAAATTCACATCACATATCTGGGCTCATCATCACTCTGCCCATCTGCCTTCTGAATAAACACCCCTCCAGTTACTGTGCCGCAGCCCACCCTGTGCTTTCCTGCCTCCTGTCTTTGCTCCTTCAGTTCCTCCAGCCACGTCCCACCTCCTTGCTTGTTTATGTCAAGCTCCATCCTCCCCAAAGCCTTTCCTGATCCCCCCTTGGGCCTCTCCCCTTGAAGACTTTATTATTCCATCAGCTTTATTGACATTATCTTTATTGTGGCAGTTAGCACACTGGGTGGCAGGCATTTGCCTATCTGGCTGTTTCGTAGCACACAGGCCTGTGGATGGCAGGGACTGTTCTATGCATCTCTGTATTCCCAGCACCTGGCATAGAGTTTGGCACCAGAAGGCACTCACGTTATGATGAAATGGATTGAAATTTTGTTGTTCTTGGTAGTTGGTTTCCTATTTAGTTAGCCATTTCACCTTGGTTTCTAAACTAGATTTGTGTCAAAGCCAAATGAGGCATAGAACATAGCCTGTGTCAGTGTATCTGGGGTGTTTTCCTTTGAGGCTTTAGTGTATATTGTATGGTGATGTTTATGTTCCATTTGCTCACAAAACCATCTGTGTCTTCCTGCAGACAGCCGCTGCACTGTGTTGAGGAAACAAGACAGTGGTGATGTGCCAGTAAGTTATTTGGCCACTTTAAATGTTATGCTCAAGTTTGTGTTAGCCAAAGGAAGAGGGGAGGGCCCTGGCCAGTGTATTACATCGCAGGTGGCACTCCAGAACCAAAGCTGGAGGGCTTCTGATAACATGTACTATTTCCCTAGAAAGTTAACCCCAACTTACTATTGGAATTGGAGCTACTAGTAGTCTTAGAAATAGGAAGACAGTTCTTGAGTCGTCTGGCATGAAAATGAAAAGTTATCTGTAATGGTGAAATTCTGATGTTTTCCTCTTTAAGAAAAACCAAGGGACTTGGTTTTGAATGACTCCAAATTTAGTTGAACTGAAAATAATTCCAGAGTTGTCTTTGTTCGTAGGTAGTGGCAGTTTTCAAACAGGAAATTGCTTGTTTACTGACTTTTTAGGATCAAGTCATCAATACTTGAAGTTTTATCGTAATCCATTCTATCAAATATTGCCCAGCTACATATGGAAACACAGCTAACATACCCCATGAGAAGTTAAATGCTGCTTCTAAATTCAGTGTTTGTGCCCCAGTGTCTGGCCAGGTGCAAATGTCTAGTTTGCCTTAGTAAAAGGAAAATCGTTAAAATACTATTAGCATATAACCAGAATTACTTTAAAAGTCTGATTAATTACTTGAAATGACACAAACCTTGTTGAAAATGAGTTCAAAATGTTGAAACAATGTAATTTTAGTTATAAGGCATCATTAAACTTTTTCTTAATTTCTGTTATAAATCATAATGCTAGGGCTAACACACTATATAGTGCTGTTTTTTGTTAAACATTTTCTGTAATTCAACTTATGACCAGTCTGTGAAAATTAGCATGTTTGTAATATATGGTAGCTTCATAATGCTGTTATTTGTTCAGTGATTTCCTCCTCACTTTTTAGTTTAATTCTACCAAGATAAAAAACAAAGGCAAGAAGAAGAAGCCAAAAGATTCAAAGGTATGGAGTATTTTCTGTATAAATTCTTCTCTAAAATATTGAGCATGTAAATTAGAATTAACCGATTCTTGGGATATTTGAAGCATTTTGTTGAGATGACATCTCAGGCTTTAAGGACATTTTGGCAGCCCTCTACATTTGAGGAAGTTTAGGTTCATGTTGTATCTAAGGAACTTTTTGAAGAGACTTTTATCTTTATTGTCCTTTCATTTTCTGAAAACTTCTGAGTAAAACAACTGTCATAATGTCGGATTTTGCATTGGTAGTCTCAGAGCAGGGTGACCAAGGGAGCTTGGGGTCAGATAGACCTGAGTTTATAACAAGGCTCTTGACCAATTATTTTTATTGCTGTTTTTATTTTCTGCATTACCTTGGGCAAACTGTTTGACTTCCCTGTGCCCTAGTGTTATCATCTGTGGGATAAGAGGTATTACCTGTTATCAGTAACTAAACACTCAAAATAAAGGTGGTGAATACTAATCATTATAACAGAATCACAGAATTGATAGGCTCCCTTTCTTCCTCTCATGCAAGGCTCTGCTCCAGGCCCATGAGATTACTAGGGTGGGCTCTTCGTGGCTGTTATGTATTTGAAAGTGGCAGGATCAGAAAGGGGCAGGGGTGGAAAAAGTAACCAAATATTAGGGGAGGATGCGAGCAGTCAGTAAAACTGATGGGAACTTAAACTGAGTGACATTTAAATTTTTTTGGCGTGTAAGAAATCAGCTAAATGTTAATGGACCTATTTATGGTTGTTGAAACTTTTATTATTATGTGTTCCTATTCACAAGATAATTTAGATAAGTCTCATATATTGTCAGTTTGCATACATATTTATGTAAGCATTCATCACCTTTAATGGTAATTTTAAGGTAGAAAATGATTGACATTTCCCCGTCTTTTAAACCAGCCTATGTTAGTTGGGTCTGGAACAACTTCAGTAACACCTAATAATGAGACCATAGCTTCAGGCGAAGACCGCAAGTAAGTACATTTTTAAAATTTTTGCTTCATTTTAACTCAAGTGTTTTAACGTAGTAAGTGATGTTAACTTAATGTACTTTAAATTTGTGTTTTCCCTAATTTCTTTGTCTGAAGATATGCATCTATAATGACAACCTCATGTGACCCATCTTGGTTGAATTTATAGCATGGCTTGTCAACGTTAAGAATTCATACAAACTGCATTAAAATCACACGGCTCCCCTGGCTGGGTGACTTAGTTGGTTGGAGTGTTGTCCCATACACCAAAAGGTTTTGAGTTCCATTCTTGGTCAGGTTACATACCAAAAGGTTGCGGGTTTGATCTCTGGTCAGGGTGCATATGGGAGGCAACCGATTCATGTTTCTCTCATATCGATGTTTCTCTCTCTCTCTAATCAAGTAAAAAACAAAAATCACAAGACTGATAATACTCACTTGATAAACTTGAGAACCTACTATGTGCAAGATACTGGGGTACAAGTCAAGGAAATGTTCTTTAAAATGTTCATTTGCTAAAGTAGGAGAGATGGAGATGTTTTGGAAGTTATATATGATGTAATAGCTTAACCTTAGATGTTAGTGATTTTTATAATAGCATCTGGTTGTTGAAGCTAAGTTTTCAAGAAACAAATAGACCTAAGAAGAAATAAAACTAGTGAGCAGCATATTCCTTTATGGGCCAAAAAACACAAAAAATGTTTGGGGTTTTTCCTACATTTATTAAAGGAGTTGTAATACTGTTGTTTTGCACAGTCATTTTCATGGATTCTTTAAATGGAGAAATTGTTTTAAGTTAATATAATAATAGCCTATATACTTAGATAACAATTATGTAATAGGCACTATTTTAAGAGCTTTATATATAGTATAAGCTATTTAACCTACTCTTTTACCTTAAGAGATAACTGTTGTTATTATTATGTTCATTTTATATATAAGGGAACTAACACAGTGGAGTGCCCAAGAACACAAGCTTGTCAACAGCAGAGCAGAATTTAAACCCAGCAATTTGGTTCAGAGCCCACATTCAAACTATATCTTTTTAGAGAATCATACCTCTTTTTTGAAAAAAAATAAAAATTAAGTACTTTTCACCAGTCTTGATTGCACTTTAATAGCAGTTATAATACAATTTTTCATTTTTCTCTTTAACAAGGTACAATCAATGCAACATTGATTTTTTATTTTTTAAACTAGGAGTTTTAAAAATTTTGCTGTTGTTGGCAAAAGTAGTTAATTAAAAGTACTCAGTAATCAAGTACATATATTTCTTGACTGTAACTTTCTCTATTAAATTCTCTGCTAGTGGTTTTTTTTTGGCATCATAATGCTGAGTAATATGTTACTATCTTTATGTTTATTCCAATTTAAATATGGGTGGGACAAAAGTAGGTTTACAGTTGTTAGTACATGAAACAGTTTATTTTTGTAATATTTATTAGTTATTGTATTTTCCATATGAACAACTGTCAACCTACATTTGCCCCACCTTGTATTATTCTGGGTCACCTGAGGCTTATTATTCACAAAATTGTTTTTTTTTAACAGCAGACGCAATTCAAATTTCACAGGCCCATTTGTAGTGCCTGACCATCTTCGGCAAGATGTAGAAGAATTCGAAGCTCTCTATGAACAGCACAGCAATGAATATGTTGTCCGTAATAAGAAGCTGTGGGACATTAACCCAAAACAAAAATGTTCAACTCTATATGAGTAAGTAGAACATTCTACAACTATTTTATACCAAGGCCACCAGTTAAATACCTTAAGTTGTTTAGTTTGTGTCATGTGATTATTAAAGGGATCATTTACTGGCTTGTAAATTCTGGGAAGAAGAGTATTTTTATAGCTTTTGTTCAGTATTACACAAATATAGCTGAGGATTTTTAATCATTAAATTTAGAATCCTAACAATTATTTGGTCAGTTTGAGCTGCTGACATAGATACTTGCTACTTCCAAAACTGTCCTGATATGTCCTGATAGGACTGATAAAGTTTCCAGCCATAATCGTTTCATCATGAATTTCAAGGTCTACATTTGACAAGGAGTAGTATGATTATGTGATCTCATTGTCTTTATGTTGATGGATGCATCTGTTTGGCATCGCGTACGTCGAGTTGATAGCTTGGTGAAGTGTTACCCTTTACTGGGGAAAGAATGCCTGGATCTTGTTATCGTTCTACCGGATGATGATGGTTCAGCTGGATGATAGTGCACATAGAGAACCCTGTGTCTCTGTATTGTATTGGAGACTTGACTTCCTGACATTGGTCTAATAAAAGAAAAGAAAAACTGCCTTTCCTTTTGAAGTAACCTTGGATGTGAGTTACTTTTGGATTGAAAATGTGAATGTGAAATTCACACTTAAGGCAAGTCTGAGTGTGGTGTAAGAGTTCAGGAAAATCTAGGAATTACCATTTTGAGCTTGGCATTAATAAACAGTGCATGATGCTTTCCTTAGGAAATGGAGGGCTAAGATCTGCAATAGAAAATTAATTCAAAAGCTAACTGTTCTCCTGAAAAACCTGTTGCTCATCCATAATTTGGTCATTTCTTCTATTTTCCTCAGTTGCAGCATTTCTGTTCAGCCTGGTTATATGCTCTTGGGTTCCTCTTGATGGTTTTTCTCTAGAATTGAAGTGCTGAGAAATTCATATTTCCAGAGAACTCCTGGATGACAACATGGGAACAGCTATAAAAATACACTAGTATTTTAAAAAATGTGTAGACTTTGCTTCAGGCATCCAGAACTGAAGCCAGACTGTGTAGTTTTCAGGAGCTTGCTTCTTACAGAATTTATTACCATTATTAGTGGGAAGAAGTAAACAACTTGAGGAAAGAGTCATTGATTGACTGCTTCCTGCACACCCCCTACTGGGGGTTGAGCCTGCAACCCGGGCATGTGCCCTGACCGGGAATCAAACTGTGAACTCCTGGTTCATAGGTCGACGCTCAACCACTGAACTTCGCCAGCTGGGCACCAATTGGATTTTTTTGAAATTTTATTTTCTCTTTTCATTTGATATTCTTCTTGTTATATTCTGGTTATTTTTTTCTTGAATAAATTTTCTTTTAATTGCTTTATATTAAAATTTATAAAGTAGCTTTCTATTCCCCCCTTTTTTTCTAAAAAAAATTGATTATATTTTGAGGGGTAAAAAAATTTTATTTATAGGATCACTGATTGCATTTAGCCTTTCTCATTTACTATGAGTATAGAGTTTAATTTAATATGAGTATAATTGTTGGGGAGGAGATGAGATCAGCTAGAAGTGAAATAGTATTTGCTTTGGGAGAATTTTTTGGGAAGTATAATTTTTTAATGAACATGTACAAGTACGTATAATCACTTAATGTAAATGCAAATTTTCCCCCAGTTATTTCTCTCAGTTGTTGGAAGAACACGGCCCCTTGGATATGAGTAACAAGATGTTCTCTGAAGAATATGAATTCTTCCCAGAAGAAACTCGGCAGATACTAGAAAAAGCGGGAGGTTTGAAATCTTTCCTCCTGGGATGTCCGCGTTTTGTTGTGATTGACAACTGTATTGCTTTGAAGAAAGTTGCATCACGGCTCAAGAAAAAGAGAAAGAAGAAAAACATCAAGACAAAGGTAGAAGAAATGTCAAAAACAGGCGAGTATTTACGAGTTAAACTGCCACTGAATCCAACTGCTAGAGAATTTAAACCAGATGTAAAGTCCAAACCAGTGTCCAATTTATCCTCAGCACCAGCTTCTGAGGATGTGAAGCCCAAACCTGGATCTGCTGATTCTCCCAATCCAGCCTGTGAAGCCGAGAAGCCGAAACCAGTATCCGAGAATTCTCTCAGATCAGTTCCTGAGGATGAGAAGCCCAAGGAGGTCTCTCCTGATTCTCCCAAACCAGTCTCTGAGGATACAAGTCACCAACGAGCCTCCTCTAATTCTCGCAAACCAGTTCCTGAGGAGGTGAAAGCAACCTATTGGACTCAAGCCCATTTGGTCACAGGATACTGTACATACCTTCCCTTTAGGGCATTCGACATTACCCCGCCACCACCAACGTACATAAGCGTGGTACCGACTTTGCCCCAGTACACTAACATTTACACACCTCTGGCCACCATTTCTCCTGAATATCAGCTGCAAACATCAATAGCAGTGGTGCCATCTTTTGTAGCCAATGACAGACCAGATCAAAGTGCTGCTGTGTATTTTGAGGGTCCTCATTTGAATATTGAGCATGCCCCTGGTAACCAGATTGCTTCAGAAACACAGATCCTTCAGGACTCTTTGGAGATACCAGTAAAGTCACAGTGTGGCATGGGTGGTGCTGATCCAGCCCAGGGTGAGCCCAGCAGAAATGATGGTCACTGTGAAAATTCTGCCCACAAGCGGGAAGCAAACCCAGAAAAGAGCAATGAAGCAATGAACATTCCATACGCACAAGTAGTAGCCATACAGGTAAGACTTAAATAGGAAAAAGTCGTCTTAATACCAAAATTAATTTTTTAAAGAACTTTTCATTGCCATTATATTTACTAAAATTCTTTAAAATGATTGATTGTATAGTGCTTACTAATGCTGTCACCTGAAAATGTTTTAAAAATATCCCTTTTATAGGACATAATAGGTAGTCTTGTGAGAAAGAATTTTGGGGGCTAGTAAATAGTACCCTTGTTTTCTACCCCAGTTTTGCACCAGTTGAGAAATAAGATAGAGGAATCAGTAGATGAGATGAAGCCAAAACATTACTTTAGTAATTATTACAGGCACAGTAGGAAGATGTGGCTCTTCTGTGGAGAGTGCATGTCCTAACAGGAACCCCCAACACAACAGTTTACCCCCAATTACAGCAGTGCTGGACCAGGAGGTTCCCAGTGTGGGTGCCTGCCTCATAAAACTGAATACAGAAGGAGGGAAGATGTGCTTTCTGCACATGCAGCTCCCAAGAGGAAGGAAAAAGAGAGCCTTGAGTTACGCATGCCCAGTTTCTCCTACCAAAACTAGGGAGGAGTCAGGGAAGTAAGAGCCAACCAGATGGAGAGAAACAAGAGGGAGGTGAGTAAAAGTTCCTTCTTAACAAGCATGAGAATAAACTTAGGTTCCTCTGTAGTTAACTTCATAGGGCATGAATTCATTAAACCCTGATTGGATTATCCTCTACTCACTAAGTTTTCTGTTTTCTAGAAAGCTTTGAAAAAATGTTAAGAGTAATGAGTCAAAATCACTTTCATTTTTACTAATTGCAAATGCTAGCTCTTTTCTAATATAAGTATCTCTAGAAAGCACAGAATGTTATCTAAAAAAAACAAACTGGCAAAAATTGTGAGCATGCTTTTAAATGGTATTACATAATGAATCTGTTTTACTAGAGCAATCGAGATAGACTGGATTTGAGTGTTTGTTTTACCCCAAAGGTATCTGGGAGTACAGCACATCAGGAAGTCAATACTGAGCCATATGATCCTTTTGAGGCACAACTGGTGAGTCAGAATTGTGTAGCCTGTTTAAAAGTTCTAATTTCATTAATTTAACTAGATGGGAATGACTGACTAGAACTATTTTGGAGCCATCTAATTCCATATGAAACATTATGGAATAAGCTTTAGAACATAACCAAAAAATTTACTGTTTTGTTTTTATTGTTGGAATTTGGAAAGAAAAGGCAGAGGAAAAGGTAAGTTTTTCTTCTAGCTTATATATTTTATAGTATAATGGTTTCATTGTTTAACTGGTATAATGAGCCTGTATTAATTTATAAGTAGTGCTTATTCACATGAATGATACAGAAAGTATTATAAAGCCCTTCACTTTTTAAAGAATGATTGAATAAATCTATTAATTTATTTTAACTTGTTTTTTTTTAAATAATCAGCAACTACCCATTTAAAACACTTAAAAGTAGGGCCAAAGTTAAAACGTTCTGTTTATGTCTAAAATATGATATAATATATGCAGCTTTTTAAATCTAAAAAGTAGTTCTTGTTAATTGTGGAGAATGACTTTCAAATTCAAACTGTTGGTATAATAGTGAACCTTTTAAACCAAGTGAATATTCAGAACTAAGTTATAGTACTGATCAAAAAGCTTCACTATGAATTTCAGTAATACTAATACCTTTATTTTAAAAAGAGCTGGCTTTGCTGAACAGCATTCAGGGATTTTTAATTCTTGAATCATTATGACATTTCCCTTGAAAATTTTCATCTGCCTTTTATTTTATTCTCTTTAGTTTATTTTAAAAGACAGTCCAGAACAAAATCAGAAATAAGCGTTGTTAACTATTTTATTTTATTTATCTTTTAAATATATCTTTATTAATTTCAGAGAGAGGAAGGGAGAGAGAGAGCAACATCAATGATGAGAGAGTCATTGATCAGCTGCCTCCTGCACACCCCCTGCTGGGGATTGAGCCTGCAACCTGGGCATGTGCCCTGACCAAGAATTGAGCCCAGGTCTCCTGGATCATAGATTAATACTCAGCAGCTGAGCCATACTGGCCTGGCTTTAACTACTTTAGATAACTTTGTAATTTACTTTTAGGGGGATATTTCACAGATTGAAAAGGAGTACCAGGTTTTACAAGAGCAGCTTAAGGAAGCATGTGAGAATTACGAGCAGAGAAAACTCAAGGGCGCAGAAGAGACCAGGGACCTGGAAGAAAAGTTGAAAAGGAACCTGGAAGAAAACAAGGTAATTCTGTCTGAAGCCTCTCTTTAATAGCATGTGGCATACTTAGGAGAATTATGCTCATGCGGCTCAATTAGCTGAGCTTCTGCATTGGCTAAGTAATGGATTCTTTCCCAGTATTGCTTATTTCAAATTTCTCTATGACATATTAAAGTGACAGTGGTTTTTTGCAGTGTTTAGAACCTCTGCAAGCTACCATATAAAAAAGGGGCTGAAAATAGGGGTTTTCATTTACCTATAATTCATTTTGCTTGATTAACCAACACTATTTTCTGGTGACTAAGTTTCAAGTTAAATTCTTGTTTATATTGAGAGGCAGTGTAGCATTAGTGGTTAAGAGTGTGAGACCTGGAGTCAGACTGGCTGGGTTCAGATCCAGACTTGGTTCTATCCCAGTTCTGATCTTGGGCAAGTTACTTAACTTCTCCATGCTTTAGCTCCTTATCTGGAAAATTTGGGTAATAATAGCTCTCATTTTGTGGGGTTAGATTAATACTTATAAATTATTTAAAACTTCCTGGTGCATAGGAAGGGCTCTGTAAGTGTTGGCTGCCACTGTTACTTCTCTTATCATCTTCACTTGATTCCTAAGGAAGGGTGAGCAGAACACACAGAGCTTATGTGCAGCAGAACTGTAAAGCCACCGCTCTTGTTTGAGTCTACTGATCTTGAGTTATGCTGGCTAAGATTGATTATCAGTTACATGTAACTGCTGTTGGAGTAATACTAATTAGTGGCAAAGCCAGATTGAATTGAGGTATCAGACAGTGTGTGCTTGAGCCCCTGAAGAACTGCGCTTAGTGACTGAGTCTTCATACTCTGTGTCAGCCTACATCAAAGGATGTCAGGCCTACACATGCTGTGACGATTGTGGCTTCATTTATTGCTAGTATGTGGTTGAGGGTATTACCCCTTCTCACATTTAACAGACATTTATAGAATGATCCCCTTGGTACCAGGCTCTGTGCTGGTCTTCTGGGACTTGTATGCAGTATCCTTTTTCTGAGGCCCTAAGCAGTGGATTCTCTCTGCTTTCACTCCCTGGGCTTCTCTGTGCAGTGGGCTTGTTTTTATTTTGTCGATACTGAATTATATAGCTCACTGCTGTTTCTCTTGGACTTTGTCTGCCAGAAAGTTTTAATGCTGTTTCTAAAGAATGGTTCACACCTCATGCCATTTATTTTTATATTACTTTCACTTCTGGTTTTATCATTCTTGTCTTTTTATTCTATTTTCTTTATCTACTTAGAAATTATATATGTTATTGAAGATACCACAAGTAATTATTTTGGAACAAAGTCAAGGTTTTAAGAGAAGAGGTATAGAAACCAAATTTTCTCTAATTGAGAAAAAGATTACCAGAAAGTGTTTATAATTATATCTCTAAACTGGTGCATGTAGAGGATGCAGTTGTCTGTGGGCTGTTCCTTCTTTTGTTCTAAAGCTTGAAAGAAAAGGATTCAGATCATTCTCGCTTGTGGAGTCAGACAAGTTCACGATAGCTAACCTGGTTAGCATTTTGAGGCCGCTGTGTCATTGAAAGGTGGTCAGTACAAACAGCAGATTAACTCATGTAGCATTCTGTGTGCTTGAGCTATAAGAGTGTGTGTCTGTAATACTTAGTGCATTTCAATACCTGGATTCCTTTAGGTGCTTATTGCTAAGTCAGTTCTTATGCTCCAGTATAACCTTTGGTTGCACATCATTTCCCGGCCAAAGGGTTGAATCAGAGGTGAAATCATTGACTTAAAATAGAAGCACAAGATAGGCAAGAAACAAGGTTGGCCTGGTTGCCAGCAGCAAGGCATGTGTAGAGACCTTGGTCATAGTAGTAGAAGTAGTCCAAGTAGGATAAGGATTTTGTAAGTGGAGTGAGTATGGTGGTCATCTCAGTCATTGTAGTGACTCGGCGAATTCAGGGTCAACAAGGTTGCAGCAAGGAAACTGTGAGTAGAACATTCCCTATGCTAGAGGGGGTCCTGCTGGACTGTCATTGAACCTTTGCTGCCCAAGAACAGTTCGCCTGTCCACCTGAAGGCCACTGGAATGAGCCCTACCACTGCAGTAGGACTCGGACGTCTTTAAGGACCTGCACTGGCTAGCAAGTCTGCCATTGAAAACCAAGTGCTGGCAGGGAGACGGGAGGCTGGTGATGATCGGCATGAATCTTTTCAAAACTGTCTCTCTGAGGAAATTCTTAGATTTTCCTCCTCGTCTTCCTTGTACCACAGATCTCTGCTCCCAGAGCCCCAGCTAAGACTGTTTCTTCTACAATCAGACTCTCGGGGCCTAGGAACTTGCCCTCTTAATACTTGAGGCCTCATTTTAATCATTTTGCTGCTGAAACCATGAGTTTCTTGAAAGAGAAGTGTTAGACATTTAGCTGATGTTTCTAACAAGGCTTTTCATGGGGAAATATATTCCAAGTTGTAACCAATCACTGTGTAAATCGACTTCTGGTTTGTAGTGTATTAATAGGGTGAGAGCTCCCCATATTGGAAAGAGTTGTTTTGGGGAGCAAAAGAGAACTGAATTGGGCTGTGCTGGTCAGTGCTAGAATAGCCTGGTAACTTGAAGTATCTATAGTGTGTAGACAAACAGGACTTAAAAGTATGTTGTTCCTTTCTAAGTGGTTATGTGGAAAGAATTCAGTATTAGTCCTTAGCTTTGTAGTCTTTGTCAAATACTTGTAAATCTCCATCCCATCCATCAAAATAATTACACGGTCAAAATTGTTCTTATATATATATTATTGTTTATTCATAGATTTATTTTATTTGTACATGCATATCTAGGTTAATTTCCCTGCTTCCCATGCCTTCTAGTCAGTGCATCTTTTGTATTTTCCTTTTTTGTTACTGAGATTTTAGTTATTCATCCCAAGGTAGACACTTACTTAATCCAGTCATCTTCTGCTTTACATCTTATACCCGCTGGACTCGTGGCCTTATCCATTCTCATCTTCTAAAGCGTCCTTGTGTCTGTGTATCATTCCTGCTGTCATCTCTGTCATTGTCGTCTCTCACCCTGGATATTGCACTGAGACCGATTATGAGAGATTTTTCCCTCCCTCTTATCTAGAGTTTTTAACATTAAGGGTTTAACCGATAATGGGCAATGAAATCAGTTAATTGATGGTGACTGGAATTGTTTTTAACAATAAAATAAAATAGAAATATTAGAAATCTGAGACAGTAAGGGCAGTTTTTTTCAGAATGTGTGTGTGCACGTGCGCTAGCACTATGGGTCATTATTAAAATGTATTTGTTATCATAGGTCATAGTCAAGAAAATGTGAAGGCCAGTGCTCTGCTCTAACACTTTCATGTACCCTTTTACCCATCCCTAAGCCATCTCTGTGTCCTTCAGAGTTATTTTTCCAAAATAAGAACCTCATCATCTCACTGCCCTGCTTAAGAGCCTTCTTTGGCTTCCTGCTCTCTGCAGGATGAAGTCCACACTCAGCATGACTTACAAGGCCGTTTGTGATTCAAACTATAAAGATGCCTCGGGTGCTATTTCTCCCTGCCCTGCCTCTTCCATACGTCCACCTTGTACTCCAGCCGCCCCTCGCCTCTTGCTTTTGTCCAGACATGCCTTATCTTACCCTTCTGCTTGAATCCGCGCTTGAAGTGGCAGTCTCATCTTTGAAGACCGAGATCAGATATCAGTGAATCTGAGAAGCTCTCAGCACCAGAAACCCTGTCATGCCCTTGTCTGTTCTTGGTTTGTTTTCATGACGGCCTCCCCTCCTGCCTGATTCCATGAGAGCAGGTGAGGGCTGAGGCCCAATATTGGAGAATATTGCATGCCAAGCTCAGCCAGGGTAACAGACAGCTCTGATGTGTTCTGCTGAACTGGAGTCAGGGATTAGGCCGGTACACTACCCCAGTTCTCTTTCAGGCTCTTTCACTTTTTAAAGTAAATCTTTCTAAAATGTTTTTAGATCTCAAAGACAGAATTAGATTGGTTCCTCGAAGATTTGAAAAAGGAAATTAAAAAATGGCAACAGGAGAAAAAAGAAATGCAAGAAAGACTAAAAGCACTGAAGAAGAAAATGAAAAGTGTTTCAGATGCCACTGAAACGTAAGTAACAATGAAAAGGCAATGATTTTCATTATGTTTTTAATTGGGGTGGGGGTTTTTGTTGTTACTTTAACATTTAAAAAAACAACAACGTTTCTGTTGATTTTTTTAAGAAAGAGGAAGGGAGAGGGAGAGAGAGAAACATCAATCAGTTGCCTGTCGACCAGGGATGGAAACTGCCACCTGGGCATGTGCCCTGACCCAGCATCAAACCTCTTACCTTTCAATGGTTCAACCAACTGAGCCACATGGGCCAGGGTCCCTGTTACTTGAACATTTTTGATAGTGAGTTTCAAACTATGTCAACTGAAGTGAAAATTTTAGATACTGTGCCATCTCATTTTAAAGAACATTTTTTGAGAAATTATGTCACCTGAAACTTTTTCTAAACCTGCCATGTTTGCAAATAAAGTGGAACTATGAATTAACAAAGAAGGATTCCTTCTAGTCTGAACACTCCCTCTACTGTGAACATGACCTTTGACCTTTTTCCGTATCTGAAATGAGCAGGCTAGTCTAGATCTTTAGCTCCTCAGCACTAAGATTCTGTGATGATTATTCTGTTTATGATTACTTTCATCCTGAATCCTGAAATCATTAAGTTTGGTCCTGTAGTATGAAAGATTTGGAAATACATATAGGCACTATAATTGTCAGATGGGTCAAGTTGGTTTTAAGATTCTCCATGATCGATTCCTTACCCTTCCCTTCCCTAAACAGTGATGATGTGCGATTTGCTTAGCTTAATTGTTACCTACCACTGTGTAACAAAACACCCAAAACTCTGCGGCTTAAATTAACAGTCATTTTATCTGATTGTGATCTTACAGTCTGGGATGAGTTCAGGTAGGCCATTCTTCCCTGGTCTTGCTAGTGGTTCCTCGTCTGGCTGCAGTTAGCTGGGGCTCTGCTCAGCCAGGATGCTGTGGTGTCGTGTTCTCTTTTTCTCCATGTAGTTTCAGAGCTTCTCCCTCTCCATGTGGCCTCTTCCTGTGACTTTTATCTACATGGCCTCTCCATCTGGTCTCCAGCTTGGTAGCCAGCTGGGGGCTTCTGGGAGTGTAGAAGTGGAAGCTTCCAGGCTCTGAAGGTCTGCACCCAGAGCTGTCAGAGCACCCTCCCACCACACTCTCTTGTTTCAGGCAGGGTGCAGGCCTCATCCAGAGGGAAGAACATGAACCAATGGGAGGCACAGGTCACCGGGGACCACACTCACATTTCAGGGCATTTATGCGTTTCCCATTTGCCGTACGTACCATGTGATCAGATGGCTTTCATTTTGAGTTGCTAGCATCACATTTGGACAGTTTCTAGGCGCAGTCCTTAAAAGAATGGTGAAGCATAAAACACTGCCTCTGTCATGTCATAGTTTCACCAGAACACATTTGCAGAAGTGATAATGTCTGTAAAGCTTTTCTCTTAATATTTGAGGTCTAGTCTTAATTGTTAAGTTATCCAAAAATTCAGGAATATTTACATTTAATATTTTTATGTGCTCAATTTAGACATACTGTCAAACTCGACAAAATAAATTAATATGTTGATAAGAATATTTTTTTCTCTGCTAGCATAAAAATTAACCATTTCTGCTGGGAAATAAACTTTGTACTGGGCTTTTTTTCTCTTCATTAATGTATGTATTTCTTTGCCTTTCTTGGTCACTATTTAAAGATAAGCCATAGGCTTCTCTGTGTTTTTTACATTTTCCAAATAAATGCTTTATATTTAGCTTTTAAAGTAAAATCTTAAAACTTTTTAGATCTCCTAAAGAAGCTCAAAGGATATAAGAAACGACTTGGTTTTTCTACACCTTAGGTCACACTTAGTATTAAAAATGGCTGGGACATAGGGAACTCCTGGTTGTACAATGGGACAAACCAATGGCAGCTCTATGACACAGGTTCTATGAAAGAGCAACACAGAATTGAATACTTAGAAGGAGTTTACAAAAAAGGAGGAATGGCATTTAAACCAATTCTTAGTGGAAACTGTGGGTTTTTAGCAAGTAGAGACTAAAAAGGTGTGTAAGAGAGCATGAAGAGGGAGAACTTACTTTCTGCAGGGCATTGCTTAGGAATCAGATTGATGCTTTGTTTTGAAGGGTTGTCAGACTGCGTATGTGTGAGTGCACATGAGTGTGTGTGCGTGTGTATTGGATTTTAAGTTCTGTTTCAAAGAATAGAGGCTGGTGCTAGCCGAGTGGCTCACTTGATTGGAGTGTTGTCTTGTACACCAAAAGGTTGCAGGTTCGATTCCCTGTCAGGGCACATACCTAGGTTGTGAGTTCAAGTCCTGATTAGGGCACTTACAGGAGGCAACCGATCGATGTTTCTCTCTCACATCCGTGTCTCTCTCTCTCTTCCCCTTCCTCTCTAAAAAATCAATAAAAACATATCCTCGGTTGAGGATTTAAAAAAACCCACACACAACAGAGGCTGTTTGCCTTTTGAATGAGAACAACTGTTCATTCTGTACTCCTGTGTCACCTGTTGAACCACCCAGAGGTGCTCCTTGAAGTGTACTGAGGTATGGTGACGTTACTTGGCAAGCTTATAACTTAGTGATCAAATAAAATGGCTGAAATCTGTGATACGCCCTCCAAGTATAAAAGGAAAACTTCCAAAAAGGAAAATCACCCGAATCCTTTGCCTGCTTTGAAGATATTAGAAATGAAACAAAATGTAAAAACTTAAAAAGAATTAAAGAATTTTTGCGTGGATATGGGTAGAATTTACTCATGGATCAGTGGTTGTTTTTCAATAACTTTTGTTACAGGCTGCTTCTTTTTTAAATAAATTTTTGTTGACTTTAGAGAGAGAGGAAGGGAGAGGGAGAGAGAAAGAGAAACATGGACGTGAGGGAGAAACATTAAGCAGTTGCCTCTGCAGGTGCCAGGAATCAAAACCAGCGACCTTTTGGTGCATGGGATGATGCTCAGCCAGCTGAGCCATGCCAGCCAGGGATGGCATCGGGTTTTTTCAGGAATCTTGGAAAATTAATTAAAATTCGGTGATTGTGCTTTCATAGGTACACCCAGAAAAATGATGGGCAGGAAAAGGAACATGAATTCCTTCTGGACCAGTCTTCTGAAATCAGGCAAATTAAGCTTAAATTTCTTTTTATATCGTATTATACTTTTAACACCAGAGACACAGGCACACTGGACTTCTAAATATGTTGTTGCTTGTCTGTGTCTTAAATGATTGTTTCTTTTTTCTTTATTTTCTATTTTATCTTTAATAGTTAAGTAAATTTATTCTTTAAGTACTTTTGTTATGATGTTCCTACTTTTATTTCACATTGTCGGTTTTAAAAAATCTGAATTTATTGTTGATTACACCTCTTGTCCTTTGAGTTAACATGAACCTAAATATATATTTAAAAAATTTTTCTTTTGTGTTACTTGAAATACTAGTCTCAACCATATTATGGTAGTTTGTTGCTCTGTGATTATAGGTTCATTGGAAGATTTTCATTATGAACCCATGAAAAGTTTCCTTTTAACCTTTATTAACGGAAACAATGTTTTCACCTACTGGTAACCAGTCTACTCAGTAGTAAGCAGTTGTATTCTGCTTTTCTCATATATTGTTTCATATACACATTTCCATTCACTTATGGTTCATGACCACCTTGTTTTAGCAGTTATAAATGTATTGCCACGAACAACTTTGTATATATATTATTTTGTCCTTTGGGTTATTTCCTTATAATATGTGTCAAGATAGAATTTCTGACTCAAAGGATGAGGGATGTTCTATAAAGTTTATTAATAGAGCAGATTATACTCCACCTGTGCTCATAAAAATGATGAACCAGTTTCTCGGCATTCCCACCAATTTCTCACTTTTAATTTCCTATCTTTCTTTGATCATTTGTGAAGTGCAAAGAGCACACGTGAGTCTATATTACATAGTAAAATATTAGGCAAGAAGTTACTCTGGAAGACATTATGTGTCTTTTTGTGGCATGACTTCAGTGTTAACCTGGCTTTAGTCTTTGTAATCTCACTGGTTAAATTTTTTTCAAAAAGTGTTTTTTCTTTGCTATTTGCAGTAATACATTTACAAATGAGAAAATGAAAATAGAAGAGCAAATAAAGAAAGGGAAAGAGCAATATGAAGAGATTCTTCAAAGAGCTGTGGCTGCAGAGGTGAGCCCAGTTCCACGGGGTGACCAACAGTAGGACAGGAGTCCTTGTTTGCTTGTGTTTAATTGCAAATGAAGCATAACAGCATTTATTGCCATTTTTGTTATTCTAGTTTTAAATACAAAAGTTTTAATTAATGTTCACCCAAGTGACATTACAACATAACCAAGTTCCTGTGATTCTGTCCTTGTGTGTCATTTAGGAAGAAACTTCAAAGTGGTTTAGAATGTTTAAGTTTCAACAATTTAAAATAGTTTCAGATTTTCAGTTTTAAAATACTTAAATGTTCTCTAATCTAATGGTAGGTATCTGTGCTTGAAAACGGGAGGGAGACGGAAGTGTATAAGTTACGGATCATGGAATCACAGGCAGAAGGGTATCTGAAGACCCTGAAGCAGTTGAGCAGGTACTGTGTGGCATTATGGGTGTATTTCCCAGCATGCAATTTAGCAAATAAAAGTTATAGATGATTTGAGAAAAAAATTTATAGTGGGCAGGACCATTTTATTTTTAATAGTTATACAATTAATACATGTTCAGTTGTAGAAAAATCAAAACACAAACAAATGATAAAAATTATCCATAATTCTAAGTTGAGGTATAAGTAATTAATATTTTGGAATAAATTCATTAACTAATTGAAAAAAATGAAAATTTGTATATCTTTTTCACTAAGTAGTATAGGAAACTTCCTTTCACATCAGTAATTAACTTTCTCCAGCCTAATTTTTTTTTTTTTTAATATATCTTTATTGATTTCAGAGAGAGGAAAGGAGAGGGAGAGAGAGAGAGAGAAACATCAGTGGTGAGAGAGTCATTGATTGAGCCCCCAACCCGGGCATGTGCCCTGACTGGGAATCGAATCCTGATCGCCTGGATCCTAGGTTGACGCTCAGTGGCTGAGCCACGCCCGGTCGGGCTCCAGCCTAATTTTGAAAGGAAGTTTCCAGCATACACAGATGATGCATCCTGATGGGTCAGACATCACTGTGGTGGGGTAGTGGTGGTGTTTGCACATGTTGTTAATAAAAGCAGCACTACAGCAGGTATCCTTGCAGCTAAATTTTTATGCACATTATTAATCATTTCCATGCAATAAATTTCTGGAATGAAAATCACATTTTCAAAGCTTTTAAACATTTTGCCAAATTGCCTTCCCTAAGCACAGTTACTTAATCCTTGTAGTAGAGCATGGTAGTGTCACTTCAGAGGATATTCATGGCTCTTCACTTTTTCAACTCTCCTTAACCTTTACCTGTATTGCTTTGTTTTTAGAATACGGTTTACCTGGGACTCCTCAAGGGTCTCTTGCAGTCTAGCACTTAGCACTTTTCTATATGGATTTTTACACCTGAGATTACTTTTCCTCTTTTTTTTTACTGTGTTCCACACACACAGGTTTTAGTTTTTTAACCCCAGGTTTTTCATCCTTTCTACTGCTTTTTTACTTAATTTCAACCCCTCCACACTGAACCAGAGTTTCTGTGGGTCATGGAAAACAGTTTTAATGGCTAGCTCTTTATTTCTTCATTTTCATGATTTAGTTTTTTTTACATGCGAAGACCTTTCTGATTGAAGGTAAACTAATCTGAATCAGATTACAGGACTAGTACAGCTGAGGTAGAGACCACGTGGTGTTCAAATGCAGTGTTGAGCACTCGCCATGCGCTGTGCTGTGTGGGCATCTACGAAACAGACATGTCTCCAACCTCATTTTATCTAGTAGTGTCCACTTCCTTAGTGAGCCTCAGAGTACACCAACTTCTTTCTTAGGAATTCTGCGCCAACTCTGCCCATTCCACCAGAGAACACAGAAGGCATCAAAGGGATGTCCTGGGTTTTCTTCACAATGTCTCATGAGAACTGAGTCACGGATTGGTAGTGTTTCTGATGTTCTCTATTGAGGAGCAGGAAGCATGTGTCTCTCAGTAGACCAAGTTCGTGAGGCCCTGAGGTCATACATCTGTTGGAGACTTCAGGTCCCACCCTTTATCTTACACTAAGGTGGGAATCAGGGCTTTATTGGAATGTTTTAAGTGTCCCAGACTGCTGTTCTGTTTAATGCACAAACAGCCTTTAATGTTAAACATGGGCATCAGAATGAAGGCAGCCAAACACTCAAATTTGGGGGGAAATGAAAATTCAGGAGAATACTTGCTCTCTGTGCACCAGTTTTGGGGCTTGGGTTAGATCAATCATTAAAGTTTTCTAAAGTGTCTCTAGAGGTGTTTGTAAGATACACAGTTCTTTAAAAACAGTTGCATTTTTGTGCATGATCATGTGAAATGTATCTTTCATGTTTAAATGTTTATTTTCATTTGTACTTTAGTGCTTTCAATTTTTAAAAATATTTTAAAGTGGACATTAAGCAGTTTCATGTTTTTCTCCTTTTTCAGTGATTCTGCAGCATATCCTGACCTGGAGTCTGACGTACATTCATGGGAATCATTTCTTTCTGATGTTAGAAAAGAAATTGACAAAGCTGAGGTAAGTTGTAAAATATTTTATAATTCTGCCAAAGTCTATATAATAGTTATAATTTCCAAGCAGCTAGAGTCAAATTGAAATGGTTCCTTTTTTGAGCTGTTAAAAAGAATAAATACCTTTGTTGAAATTTTAAGGATTTTCCATGAAAGTAATGATATTTTCTTAATTGTCTTAAACTCTGCCCTTGATTGCTAAGATTAGAGCAGTTATTTTTGATCAGGCTGCAGAGCATCTGGTTAATGAGCTCTTATTTTGAACTTCTTTCCTTACAAGAAATAATTGTTTTAATACCTTGTGTTTCAGTTATGTTTCTTCGAAAATTGTTGACCATTTTTAATGTATAGTAAGAAAAATAGTATTCATTGTCGATTGTGGTTTTCCCTTGGAATTTGTTAGAAAAACTTAACCCCTTTTCTTCTACCTACAGTCTCAGTTTGAAGAACAAATTAAGGCAATTAAAAATGGTTCTCGGCTCAGTGAGCTTCCTAAAGTGCAGATTTCTGAGCTTTCACGTCCTGCCTATAGCACAGTAAGTCTGTCATCTTCTTTTCGAAGGAACGCAAACAGAACATAATGAGCCACATTTCTTTCTTAATTGGCCAGAGTAGCTGGTGGTGTTTTCTGGGAGTGGGGATGGGATGGATTTATAATTGCCTCAATGTTTTCATTATTGGTGCTACTGACTAACCTTTTAAGCATTATGATGAACGTTCTTAAATAAATAGAAGACATTCTTTCTACATTAGGGTCTAAGGAGAGGACTAAGGTAAACACACTGCTGGTACATCTCCCCTTTCCTTTCTGGATGCTGGTGTGTGTGTGTGTTTCCCTGCATTTGAACAAATACTCCAGGTGTAGCAGGTGCCTATGATTCAGAAATAGGTTATTCCTCGATGTGTAGAGAAAGGCATAAGACCACAATCTGGAAATTAAGATTTGTTTTCTTGTTAAATACGAGAAAAACTGGCATATCACATTTCACTGCTGGTTTGAGGTATATGCTGAATCTTCTGAATAACAGTGATTGCCAAACCTTGTCTTGTTGTTTTAAAATATGCAGCACAGTAAAGAAAAGCATTAATTTTACTTTATGGACTTTAAAATATGGCTAAACCTAGTATTCCTTTATTCTGGCATATATATTTTTTATTTGGACATACCAAATGCTCAGTAAATACTAAATTGGAAATCAGTTAAGCCCAGGGGAGATGGGACCATAAGAATTTAAAGAAGGACTCTATTCAAGAGCCCTGGCTGGGTGACTCAGTTGGTTAGAGCATCATCCCAATATGCTAAGGTTTTGGGTTCGATCTCTGGTCAGGGCACATACAAGAATCAACCAATGAATATATCAGTAAGCGGAACAACAAATCGATGTTTCTCTCCCTCCCCATCTCTCTATTTCCCTCTTTCCTCTCTCTCTCAAATCAATAAATAAATAAAAATTTTTAGAGTTGATTAGAGATAGGTTTCGGGATGTTTTGACACAACGTTGAAATCTTCCAATTCTGAAATAGTATATATTTCACCATCCTGCTACTGCCAGATCTTTGCTTGGCTGTTGCCCAACCTGGGACACCGTCCTCACTCTCTGCACCCTGCTTTCCCCTGAAGCCTGGTTGGGGCTGCCCTCATTTGCCCCACCCCATGACCTTCTACTGTATGCATTCATCTCCTTAACTTACATGGCAGGCTCCCTGCAGTCAGGAGCCTGATCTCAAATGTCTTCTCATCAGAACATTGCACATTAAACATTCAAACTTAATGAATTCATCTTGGGGAAAAAACAACTATTTTTAAAACATTAGAACAGCCAGCTTGAACCGAGTAAAATATTCTTTTGAGATCCAAAGATTTTCCTCCACTGAAAGTTTTTTCTCTCCATTGAAATGTGTAAGAAATAGAGTTTTATTTAGAAGTAAATTAAAGATCACTTACCATTTACAGTTTTTCCAAGTTCTGATAGCAGATATGGAGGGGGAAAGAGATATCAGTAGAATATTTTGCTATTAACTTTTAATTCTAGTTTATGTAATTTTATAAATACTCAAAAGAATTTTAACATCCAGAACCCTGGGAACTCTCATTGTGCCAAGTGCTTGAACAATAAAGTATCCCTAAAAATCATTTCCTCTGTGTCATCCCTCCCCCATTCATCCGTTGGGCATTTAGTGGTGATCAAGATTAGTCTGTGCCCTCAGAGTGCCTATGGGTTTGGAGTCGGAGCGCACCAAGGGTTTTCGTAGGCTCACAGAATTTTGTAGCAGTATAAATAAGGGACACTAACCTAAGCTAGAGGTCTAGGCCTCTGCAGAAGCTTCCCGGTTGGAGGTCTCAGTGAGTCCGAGATCCAGAAGAGGAATTAACCAGGGAGGACGTGGTGGGTGGGCCTGTGAGGAAGGCTGGATTAATGATGTCTAGAGGGCCAGAGCGTCTCAACTGGAAGAAAACCATATTTGGAGGCTGTAAAAAAGAGAGTGAATACACCCCTTTCGTGTGTAAAAGAAGTTTAGTGTGACAGCGGGGCGAGAGTAAGGAGAGGAAGATTATCAAGTACCCAGGACCATAACGCACACGCAGCCTCACTCTGTGCGGCGGGGCCAGCAGCGTGGACTTTTCCTCAGGTCCCTAGTGGGAACTCATGTGGGTTTCAAGTAAGGGGATGACACCGGCTTTGCACTTGATGACGGTCAGCCTGACTACAACGTGGGGAAGTGGGAGAGGGCCCGAGGTATTCCTGGTGACCAGTTATTAGCTCATTGCCACCAGCCAGGGAATGGTGGTGGGGGTGGGGCAGGAGAACAGATCCAAGAGGCTGGAGATACAGTTGAAAGAGCTGTGCTGCCCATGAGATTGGGGCTCAGTGTGCACGTGTTGGAAAGTCAAGGACAAATGCGGATTCCTGTTGGTGACGACGCGGGTACTAGATGAAGAGAAGCAGAGTGAGGATACTGTGCTGAGTCTAGTTTTGAAGACATTGAGTTTGAGTTGCCCAGCAACCACCCAAGTGGATTTGTCCATTAGAAGTTTGGATTTGTAGAGTTGGGTCTCAGGAAAATATTCTAGACTGGAATCTTTAAAAAGGGGGCATCAGCAGCAGCAAGCACACAGTCACTGAGGCCTGAGAGAATGGAGAGGGGTAACTTGAGGCAGAGATCAGGCCATCACGAGGAGTTTCAACACTTACGCCTGCAGGGAGCTGAGAAGAGAGGTGGGAGGGAGGCCAGCAGCATCTAGGTGTCCCTGGGGCTTAGTGATGGAGACTATTGGTGGCCTGGGCAAGGGCAGTTTTGGGGAGTGTTAGAACAGCTGTTTGGTTTGTCAGCCACAAAGGGTAGCTGGGAAGGGAGTGGGATTCCATTAGAGGTGAAGGGGGAAAGTGGGTAGGTGCAGTGTTCTTTTTCAGGCAATGTTTCTGATTTTACAGAGAAGGTAAGAAGTATAAAGGGTCATATAGGAGTCAGAGTCCATCCCTTTCTAACAGCTAACAGGTTATGTTACAATCAGTAATTTTTTTTAAACAAAAACAATTTATTGTATTCAAGTTTTCTATGCAGTTGAGCACCCTGGTTTTATCATAGTCATGCTTAGTTATCAGTCTTTGTCCATGGATGTTTCTCTAAGTACTACTATGGTGTGTTCCTCACAGATTCGCCCAAAGTCACTTCCTGAGACTTCAGGTCACGATGATCAGGGTCCTCAGGATCCCTCAACTTCTGCAAGTCATGGGACCAGAAACCACACAGCGGTTCCCAAGGATTTAAGTCTGGTCTCTGCCAATGATCACCCAGTGGGGGCTTCCTCTCCACCGCTGCCAGCATCCCTCTCCAGTCAGCTGGAAGTCGCCCAGCTGCCAGAGTGTGAGAGTGCTGGCAAGGCAGCTCAGTCAAAACAAAGCCTCATGGCTGATCAGAAACTGCCTGTTCCTCCAGGACCCACTACCCGTCTAAGCCAGTCTCCAAAAAAGCCGTTCAATAGTATCATCGAGCACCTGTCAGTGGTGTTCCCCTGTTACAACAGGTACAGATGTAGAATGTTAATGACTCTGTTAAGTACTTTTATTAAACTGTTTCCTGGTCAGATGTAATTATGGCCAATTAGGGACTGATATGGAAAGGATTGCATAATTGTTTTATTCAGAAAGAAAAGTGCTGTATTTTCTTTTGTAAGCATAGAGTTTAGCGTTTTCAAATACATTTTTAATGTGCATATGTAGGTTGAGAACTCTGAACACTCATCAGAATCATGGCAGTTTACTAAGATTTTGATGATACCAGTAACATGCTCCAACACCGGTTGAATTACTGAGTGAACCGCACATCACTGGTTTTATATAATTCGGGAAAACTTGAGGCATATAAATTAAGGTAGCAGCAGTTCACCTTGTGGGACAACACCTCTGACTTTCAGAGGTGTGAGGTTGAAAAGACTGGGTTTAATTTGGTGGTGAATCAGGTGTGTGGGCAGGTTACAAAGGGAATCCTTGTGTGGAGGGGGAAGGGGGGCTGCTTTTACCTGAGTTCTCAATCTGCGCGTCAGTAGGGCTTCTCCTTGAGCTTGGCCTTGCTCCCCAGGTTGGTGTGAGGAGGCAGAGATGCTCCTTGTCTCAGATGAGGTAGACAGAATATCTCCAGAATAAAGCTAGGAAGAAAGGATTCCGCATCCAGGATGGACCCTCTCCACCTCCCATGTTATTTCTGTCTTTGATACAATATTAATTACAGTCCCTGAATTTATATTTTTGAAACAAAGTAGTCATTAAATTGTGACTGGCCAGAATTGATGTTTTGCATCTACGGGAACAGCCCTGCCCATTGGAAAGGGAGTGTTCAGTCTGCACTTGGGGTCTTTAGCCCCATGGGCCACAGTGTGAGAAGAGTGGTAGGTTCTCTCAAGAGCAGTTGCCCTGCCAGTTGTAAAAATATTCAAGTTGAAACTACTAAAAGTACTTCACAAATGAAATTGTTTGCAGTCCTGGCTAAATTTGGCAAAGTTAACCTAATAGAAATGCATCTTAATTTTCTGAAAGTTAAACCATTTAGGCTACTAGTGATACAATATCAAGTTCCTGTCGATTATTCACCGTCAGTCACCATCCACTGTGTGCTTGTGAAACATTCAGGCTGTGAAAACCTCATGGGTTAGATCTTTAAGGGAGGGAGTCGGGAGAGCTGGTTTCCTCTGTCAAGTCAGAGCCAGTGGTGTCTGGTCGTTAGGGATGGTGCATAATAGATGCATAAAGCCAGGTGTCTGAGTGGGACGGCTCCCCCATCTGTGAAATTCTGTTGCAGTAAGCATGTAGACACAGTATTGGAATTTTCATAAAATAACTCTGCTATTTTATGTACAGTTATTACTATTATCTGCCTGTTCATTTTGTTTATGTGTATTTGTTTCTCTTAGCTGTTGGGCTGATACTGGCACATAATACTTCTCAGCAGTAGAAAATTTTGACTTTCTGCTGTCATTTCTCCCTACTTTTCCTTCAGCACCGAGCTTGCTGGATTTATTAAAAAAGTGCGAAACAAAAGCAAGAATTCGCTCTCAGGACTGAGCATTGATGAAATTGTCCAGAGGGTGACAAAACACATTCTAGATGAACAAAAAAACCTACAGGTCAGTGTTCCATCCAGATACAGTAAAATGTCCCACTTTATCCATGTCTGGGTATAAAATGTGAGAATTACAAAAACAAAAACAGGCTTCAACCAAAATGTGAGCAATTTACTAAAGACAGCAGAAACTTTGGGTACCTGAACCTTCTTCCACACCTGCATTATCTCCGTAGCCAAGTCCAGGACAGGACAGGAGGCCATCTGAGCCCAGCTCTGCTGCTGCCATGACTAGAGCCACCCAGGGCCCTCCCTCTGTGATTGCTGGACCGTCACCCAAAACCCAGGGGCAGAGGGCAGACAGCGTCTCTGTGAGTGGTTTATATATGACTAGTCAGCTGTGTTTTAATGAAGAGCATTGTGAATCCATGATTCAGCCTTATTTTTCTCAGTTTTAGACCTAATTCATTATCCTATTAGGACATCAGTGAATGGCGGGGTCATTGTCTCTGCTTTTTTGGGTGCCTTGGGGTGCTGCAGAGAGAAGCCCCTGCCCAAGGGACAAGCAGAGCTCCGTCTGAGCTTGCTGCAGGCCCTGGCCCTGCAAGCAGGCAGACAAGTCAGTCTTTTATCAAGTGTGGCATTTTGAATATCTAGGAAGACTGATTTTTGGATAACTTTCTTTTGTGTGACCAGGGGCTTTGGAATCACACACTCGGTTCCATCATTTTGGAACCTGAGCTCGAATCTTATCTGCTGTTTAGTTGTGGTTGGGATGAAGCTGCCACAGAATCACTGGATACCTTATCAGCAACTCAGGCCTTCAGATCTGCCCCACTCCCTGACTTTGATCCCACTGCCAGGGCTGCATTCATTCACCCCCTGCACATTTTATGGGGCACCGTTTCGGGGCCACAGTTCCTTGTCATCTGCTAAGGACAGATGAACAAGGCTCGTTTCCTGCCTTCAGGGTGATCAGTGAAGAGGGGGGGTGAGGGTGGAAATTACTGATGCCGTGTGGGGCAGGGCTGTGAGCTGGAGGACTTCATGCCAGTGCCTTTGGGTGGCACTTGGGCTCTGCTGTCACATGGAGACCCTGTCTGTGCTCACGCGGCTGTGATCTGCTGCAGCCCACACCCTCCCATTCATCTCTGTCCCCACACCCACACTGGCCCTGACCACGAGTGTTTGCTGACAGGGATATGCTGAGTGAGCCGTTTGTTTTGTTTGATTTGCACAAGTATTCCACATTCATAGAAACTTAAGAAAAAAGCAGAGAGAAAAAGTAAACCTCTTTTAACCAACAGTAACTACAGTTACCATTTTACATCTTTCCAGACTCCTTTCTAGGCATCACTGTACACACATTCTCTGTTTTTAAAAAAATGAGTTGTATGGTCATATGATGCTTACTGTTGTAATCTGCTTTTATTCAGAGAGCTGTTGTGACCAGCTTTTTATGTTGGGATTATGGACTTCCCTAGAGTTTAATGGGCCACACAGTAGTCTGTAGCATGAATGTATTGGAACTTACATTCATGTTCCCAGCTGCTGAGAATTAGCTGCATGACCAGTTTGTGATTTTCAGCTAGTCCCATACTTAAGTGTGGGGTGGGATGAACAGACAGACACTTGGGTATTTTACCAGGAAATCCGTTAACCATATAAAACATTCTTTTCTCTGAGAAAATGAGAATTTTAAAAGTTTTCTTTTCTTTTGTACATTTGTTTTTTCCTGGGAAATGCTGTTTAAAAATAAGTTGTCTACTTAGCTGTGAATGGGAATAATTTGCCACTAATAAGAGCAAAAGCATTTGAAGGCCACTTGTAGAAAGAGTTTATGTAGTAGAAAGGAATTTAATGATTTATTATTCAGCTACATTTGTTTCCACAGACACTGAGTGCACTTTCCTGTGAAATATGTCATGAGGTGTTCAAATCCAAAAATGTGCGTGTGCTGAAATGTGGACACAAGTTTCACCGAGGGGTAAGCATTCGCTCTGGCCATCCTCATATCACGCATTTAGACTCTGAAGTGTTTTGAAAACAAAAGAGATTTCTTTTTCCTGGGTATCAATATGTCCTGTTTTTAAAGTACTTCCCCTGTAACCTCCTGTGTAGTGTCACTGCCCCTGTTTCCAGTACTGGTGCTGTGGGAAGGGGACAGGCCTCCTAAGCCCTGGGCTGTGCAGCTTGCACCGCCCTTCCCACCCTCAGTCTCTGGGCACAATGGGATCTGTGGGCAAGGTTGGTGCTGACATTGAGAGCAGTGTCAGCGCCTTGACAGGTGATTTCTTATACACACGAAACTACACACTACTCACTAGGCAAGGTTAACATTTCACAGGAGAAAAACAACCTAACTGGTACGTTGGGCCTGGGCCTGGCATATTCTGGCTTATACCCTTCTGGGATTTGTGCGTAACTGTTTTGGCATTTGGGGTGCTATGAGCATTTGTCCTATACCCCTGATGCTGGGTTAGAAGAGATCAGAGCTCTGCTCCATCAGCTTATGAATCCCTGACAAGGGGAAGAAGTACAGTCAGGAGGGGTGCAATCTGGCGCGTGGCACATGGCCTGCCTCCGTTGGGTGTAGGGCTGTCGTGCTTGGGCTCAGACTTCACACGCACCCAGCTCTGTGGTGGCGGCAGGCCAGCAATGGGACCACGGTGAGTAGACAGGCTTTAGTCAAGACTGCGGGTATGCCTGGCCAGGCGTGGCTCGGCAGTTGAGCGTCGACCTAGGATCCGGGCGATCGGGGTTCGATTCCTGGTCAGGGCATATGCCTGGTTGCAGGCTTGATCAATGATTCTCTCATCATCGATGTTTCTCTCTCTCTCCCCCTCTCCCTTCCTCTCTCTGAAATCAATAAAGATATATTTTTAAAAAAAAGACTGCAGGTATGCAGGCTGGTGGGGTGTACGGGGACCAAGGTCAGGCAGATAGGGAATGGATGAGTCCAAGGGCCATGAAAATGCCAGCTCTAGAAGGGGGCAGCTAAAGCACCAAGACTGGAGCTGGGGTAGGGCGGGGGAGGAGGCAGGAGGCCATCCCCTGAGGTCAGGTCAGAGCCCCAGAGTTCATGGGCAGATCCTGAGGCGGGGCTGTTCCCTGGGGCTTGGCCACTGTCCCAGCCTGAGCAGCGCAGTGTCCCCGTTGGGCAGCTCCAGGCCCCCTCACTCAGAGGTGAAGTTCGCCATGTCTGCTGAGGAGCAGCATGGAGCTCGGGCCCCATGCGCTCCCGAAGGCACTGACTAACTTCCTTTCCCTTCCAGTGCATGAAGCAGTGTCTGAAAGGCCAGAGCACCTGCCCGGCCTGTGGCGACCACGGCCTCCCGTCAGAAGAGTAGCCCAGCCTCTGGAAGAGGCTGCCGGTGCCCTAGGCAGTCACAGCCCACCCAGGGTCACACACCGGTGTGTTGAAACAGAAGAGTAACGATATACACCTTTGGTATAAAAGGCAAACATTTGAAGATTCTTTGCACTATCCAGCACTAATAAGTGGGAATCTTTAACATAGTTGATAGTAATTTCCCCTCTGATGAAACACATGGGTAACAGTGAGATGGTGGCCAACAGAAGTGAGAGTGGCCACACTCACGTAGGCTGGGCTGCGGCGCCGCTCTGAGGCACAGGCTCCTTCGGGAAGTCAAGAGCGCCTCGGAGCTGAACTTGAATTCTTGACCTGTTCAAGTACCCAGCTTAAAGTTTCCCCAAGAGTCAGTATTCCTGAAAATATGCCAGAATTTTTCCTCAAAGATTCTGCATTTTAAAAATGGGCTTAAGCAAACCACATTTTAATCATTTGTAGTTAATGTTAAAATATTGGCTGAATTAGACCAAAAGATTCAAATCTCATGTGAAACGTGTGATTTTGACTATTCATTTCATTATTTCATTTCCCAAAAGTAGATTTGTAAAGTGCTTATTTGTTGTCTTGTGAAAATATAAGCTGAGTTTTGAAAATTTATTACAAAACACTTTCTGATATCAGCCAAGACTTTTTGCCCCTGGCACCGAGGCTCCATAGTCTCCGTCGCCCAGCCTCCCCCTCGGAAGCTACTTTCTGGCTCCCTCACCCTTCTCCGTAGTGGCAACTGCCCTGCTTCAGGATAGACAGCTAGTGTCTAGGCGTCTCCCCATAGCTCACAGCAGGCACTGTGGGGATCACCGTCGTTCCCCTTCCCTGCCCCACCACCAAAAAGAGAGTCGTATGTGAATGACAGTCCCAAGGTGTCCCTGCTGCACTCATCCCGTGTTTGCCGTTTGTGTGAGAAATGCATGCACTCTTGTACTAACCCTAGTAGAAACTGTTTAAAATTAGTTCTCTTTAGTGACCTATGGACAGTGGTAAATGTAGAAACATGACTTCTGGATGCATTCCATTTCTCTCGACAGGAAGGATCAATAGATTTTCCAGTGTATTATTTGTTCCCTGAGAAGCTCAGTCCCAAGTTCATGAGCTGGTCTGTCGCCCTCCTCTGCCTTGCTCCTTGAGTTTTGATGTCTCGGTGGATTAGGCATAGACACTTATTCCCTGTTTTGGAACAGATTCTCCACGTGGGTCCCTAACACATTGTCTGCATGTTCCTAATGGCCGAGAGCTGTAGATGGATATGGAGGGACCAGTGTGCAGCAGCAGGTACAGAGGAAAAGCAGAGCAGCTGGGAAGTGAGGGAGCGTGTTTTGTACAGAGCTTCAGACTTGTGTGAACATGCCTTACACGTCCTGTGTCAATAAAGAGCATTTTAAAATGGCATCAGTCCACTGGCGTGCTGATTCGTTTGTAATCAGATAGTGTGGGAAAGCGTTCTCCTCGAAAATTCAAGACACCTGTGTTCTGCTCACATTTTAACCGTGACTTCATCAGGAGAGAAGAGCCATGCTTGTCTGAGGAGTCTAACCAAGGGCCTTGGAACGTTTTAGAGTCTGGATCAAAACCTTTCTTTGTGCCCAAGTAAAGGTTTACAAGATTGGCTATTTAAATTTATGAATGGGAAGTTTACACACCAGTGATAGAAAGTTTACTGTTTAGGCAACAGTAAGAGATTTTTCATATGAACACATATAAGAATATTGAATTTAATCAAGCTGCATTCCTCAGCACTGATTTTTTTGTGAGGCACGTGTGGATCTGTGGACTCCTGAGGCTGATCAGTAGGGTTTCCCTTTGTGAGGACTTTCTGGGTATGCTGAGCACTATTGTACGTTTTTAATCTGATAGCATTTAAATTCAGAATAATGTGTAACTTAAAGCAATGGCTATTCCTAAGAGTTTAGATTATTTTCCCTGCCGAACAGCTTAATCTACGCTATAAATAATGGATAACCCAACATAAAATGAAATTGCGCCCTAGCAATACAAAGTGTTACTACACTTTTAAGGTAATTTCAAAGCCTATGTAGTGGAGGCAGGTGTGCAAAGTGATCACCACCACAAAACTGAAGCAATGGAACTATTTTAGGTAGTTTTTAAATCAGACTACCCTCTCTGGAGAAATGGGTGAAAGGAAATAGAAGAGACAGTAACAAGGACGGAAATTTCTTTCGACAAGATACTTGCTGGTGAGGCTGGTGGAAAGCACAGGCAGTGATGTGGATAAGATGGGCTTGTCAGAACCAGCACCCAAACACCTGCAGCACGACCCTTCGTGAAAGAAACGGGAAGTGTGTTTAGGTTTTAAACTATTAAAATTTAATAAAACTTTATTAAAACAATAATTACAAAGAATCGATAATCAGTCACATCTAAGGTCTTATTTTCTCTTCGCTCTGACTCGATCCACCAAGGGGAGATGTCCGCCTTGTGTCACCATCTGCCTTAAGTGCTTTGCCTAGAACCATGGGCAAAGCCTGGAAACTGAAAACAAGTATGTGTCGAGTACCTACTACGTGCGCTGGACTAGATGTTTTGATACAGCAGTGAACAGAGAGACAAGGACCCCCTGAGACTTATCTTCCCGTTGAGTAGACAGTGACAAATATAGTTTCACGTGGTGAGAAGGGCTTTCCTTGAAGCAGCAGCAAGGGAGGGAAGGAGATTAATAGTAAAATTTGTACCAAGTGTTCAGTGTCGTGATGAAGGGATTATATGCTAGTGATTGTGGTCCAGCCTGGGCCTGAGTTGCACGGGAGGGGTCTGGTGGCCCCGTGTGAGGCTGGAGTCGATTCGGAAGTGGATCAGTGTAGCCCGGACGAGTGTGATCCAGTGGAGGAAAGAGCAAGAAGAAACCAAGTCTCCTCGGAGATTCTGAGAAATAAGTTTGTCCCTGAAATCTCCTTGAGGTGACTTGGGGACATTATAATTCTACAGCAAAGGATAACTGCATCTGTGGCGAGCAGTTTTGAGGCAGCTTTTCAGTCCGTTTGGGTTAGGTCCCCAGCTGTGTGGTTGGCTCGGG